AGTTTAAATAAAGGTGGTCAAAATAAGTACAACAATTCTTGTAAATCCTTCGTCTTACCTTAGCTCAAAAGAATAAAAATCTGAATGAGGGAGATAGAACAAGAATAGTATAGAGGATATGAATTGGTGAAAGAAAGACTGTGAAATATGGTTTTTAACAGAGATAGATAAATGGGACTATCTTAAACTAAGAAGCTTCTGCACCTCCAAAGAAACAGTGACCAAAATACAAAGACAGTCTACAGAATGGGAAAGGATATTCACCGAATACACATCTGACAAGGGGTTGATATCCAGGATATACAAAATACTGGTTAAACTCCACAAGAAGAAAACATCCAACCCCATCCAAAAATGGGGCAATGAAATGAACAGAAACTTTCTCAAAGAAGAAATCCGAATGGCAAAAAAGCACATGAGAAAATGCTCTACATCATTAATCATCAGGGAGATGCAGATCAAAACCACAATGAGATATCATCTCACACCTCAGAGACTGGCCCACATTCAAAAGAACAAAAGCAACCGATGCTGGCGTGGATGTGGCGAGAAAGGGACACTCCTTCACTGTTGGTGGGAATGTCCACTGGTTCAGCCCTTCTGGAAAACAGTATGGACAATTCTCAAAAAATTAGAAATTGAGCTCCCATTTGACCCAGCAATACCACTCCTGGGAATATATCCCAGAGAGGCAAAAATGTATAGTCGAAGTGACATCTGCACTTGTTTGTTCATTGCAGCACTCTTTACAATAGCCAGAAACTGGAAGAAACCTGAATGCCCAAGAACAGATGACTGGTTAAAGAAACTTTGGTACATCTACACAATGATGTAGTACTATGTAGCTCTTAGAAAAGATGAAGTCATGAAATTTACATACAAGTGGTACAATATGGAAAGTATCATGCTAAGCGAAATGAGTCAGAAAGAGAGGGATAGACATAGAAAGATTGCATTCATCTGGGGGATATAAAGTAACAAAGTATGAGATTAATACCCAAGAATAGCTGAGATCAGCACCAGGAGGATTACTCCATAACTTAGAGGCCAGCCGGGTATCCTAGAGGAAAGGGCTGTTCAGATAGAGAAGGGAGCACCAAATAAAGGATGTTTGGAGGATCCTCCCAGGAGGGGAGATGCATGTCGAAAGTAGACTATGGACTGAACATGTTTGCCACTCAATGCCTCTTTTGCAGACCACAACACCCAAAAGGAGAGAGAGAACACAGGGGATTTCCCTGCCACAGAGACAGGGGGGATGGGGGGATGGGGGTGGGAGGGATATTATCCATGGTGGTGGAAAATGGGCACTGGTGGAGGGATGGGTATCTGATCATTGTATAATTGAAACCAAAGCACAAAAAATTGTAAATCTACAACTTTAAAAAAAATAAAATAAAATAAAGGGAAAAAAAAAAAGAAATATGGTTTTTAAAAACTGCTAAGGGGAGACCAGTGTGATGGTATGATGGCTAGGGCACTTGCTTGTACATGACTGATCTGAGTCTAATCCTCGGCATTTCATATTGTCCCTGAGCCCACCAAGAGTGATCCCTGAGTGCAGAGGCAGGAGTAAGCCCTGAACTTTGCTGGGTGCGACCCCCAAACCAAAAAAATAAAAAACAAATAAGCAAAATTATTATTATCTAAAACACCATGAATCCTCACATGTTTTAAATGATAGGATTTTGGCATTTTTCTAATTCAGATTTTCCTGTTTAAAAAAAACATAACTTTTGTTATCTTGCCACATTTGAGAATATGGTTATCAGCACAGCTATTGAAACATAAGAGATTTGTCATTTATTGGCATGTTTGTGGTTACTAAGCCACAATTATGACTTCCAGACAATGTAGAGATTACTATTTGTGTATTGATTGCTCATGTCATTTTTGATAAAAATAAAGTACAGAGCTTAGAGAAATAATATGCCTGCTTTAAAATTACATAGAAATCACAAGAAGGGCCACCAGAAAATCTGTTCCTAATTTTAGCTATTAAATCACAATTGTAAATACATGTGTTAGTTTTCTCTACAATGAGGTGATTTCTATAGAGACATTTTAAAGTAGCCAAGGAGATATAGGATGGGTATGAAATAAAAATGAGAAACCACATGCTATTTATTTGTGCCAAAAAATGCCCATAATTTTATAGTCCTTTCCCCAGACCTCTGTGTGGGGTATTCCTAGGTTTACAAACTCAGCTAGACAGACTTTCTTTTCTGGGACTCACACCCATAAATATGTATTATGAAATTCCAGAGATTGGAGGTACGAAGAAGAAATAAATAAGTGCTCGCAGAAGACAGAGAAAGTGATATTTCAGATAGGAAAATTTTGTTTTTGACTGAACATAATCTCCCCAGGGAGAAATGACAAATTATACAATATTTTATTTGAAATTAACCATTTGCTTTGTGAAAGAGAAACAAATGTAATGATCATTGTTAGTTTTGATAAGGTGATGAAGGGTTCATCTATTTAGAAGTGAAAACTAAAGATTGTGTCAAGAACTATTTTCTTCTGATATGATTTATTATTTCCCCACAGAAACTATTAATTGTTATAAGAATCAGTCATTTTAACTCAGTGACATTTAGAATTGCAATCATGATGCCGTTTTGGTGTTATTGTCAACAGAAAAGATATAATGAAGTCCCTTAAACCTTGATGTGCTAGACAAAATTAATGGTGTGGTACCCAATATTTGCATTCATAGATGAATTCAGGAATCTTTCACAGGGGCTTGTTTTTATGGAAAATTTTTATCCTACTAGTATTTGTTTTTGCAGGTTACTGCCTCTGAGTTCTATGGTCCTCACAGAGTTAAAGACCAATATTCATCCCTAAATTATATTCTAGAGAGATAATTTTTATTCAAAAATTATAAAGAACACTTAAAAATTATTTAGGAACACTTTTAGAAAAACCACTAAGCCATATAAAATGACTGGTACAAAAATATAGATCATAGTTAAATACTTTGAATTTTGCAACTATTTCTTATTCCTTTAGTGAAATTTAAATTTCAGAAGGTTTATGGATCTTTATATCTTATTCATCTTATAGAGGAATAAATAGCATAGGCATCAGAATAGAATAATAAAATAATATAATAATAATAAAATAATAGAATATATGAGGAGCATTTATAAATAATAAGCATTAATGTAAGTTATTAAACTGATGGAGTGATAGCACAGCTGTAGGGCGTTTGCCTTGCACGCAGCCATCCTGGCCGAGCCAGGTTCGATTCCTCCGCCCCTCTCGGAGAGCCTGGCAAGCTACCGAGAATATTCAATATGCCAAACACAGTAACAAGAAGTCTCACAGTGGAGATGTTACTGGGCCTGCTTGAGCAAATCGATGAACAACAGGAGGACAGTGACAGTGACAATGTAAGTTATTATGTCATTTTAAGAAATACTAAGTCTCAGGACCAGGGAGATAGCCCAAATAACAGAGCAAATTTACGGTATGTGTGAGTTCCTGTGTTTGATGCTCAGCAAACATATGCCTTGAAGTACCGCTGAGTATGGCCCTGGCATCCCCCAAACAGTGAGGGAATAATTCTGGTGGTGGCAGCCAAATAGTTAGAGCTAGGACCTGGTTCTCTTTGGGCATCACTGGGTGTCTCCATTAGAAGCAAGCGAGGAAGGGCAGATTCAGAAAGCCCCTTTTGTATTTGTACAGACTGTTCAGAAGATGTGATTATTTATACAATAATCTCAGTCATCAGATGAATTGAGCATGAGTTAGAAATAAAACAAGCTTCTGTTAGATTGCATGAAACCGAAGTTCTTGGGAAAGAAGTTGAAGAGTTCGTGTGTCTCATTTTCTCAAAAGGTTTGCTCGAGCAGGCCCAGTAATGTCTCCATTGGAGACTTTGTTGTTACTGTGTCTGGCATATCGAATACGTCACGGGGAGCTTGCCAGGCTCTGCCGTGCGGGCGAGATACTCTCGGTAGCTTGCCGGGCTCTCCGAGAGGGGCGGAGGAATCGAACTCGGGTCGGCCATGTTGGCTGCGTGCAAGGCAAACGCCCTACCGCTGTGCTATTGCTCTAGCCCAAGAGTTTCAAAATGAAAAATTGAAATTGACTCACGAAATAAAATTAGAGTGTTGCATTTGATGTATTTTCATGATAATTTGTATTTCTGAAATCATGGTTTTTTTAGACATATTGGTATGAGAACGATAAAGAGTTTATTTCAGAAACTTTTGTAGTTTTATTATTTGTATCTTTATGAAAGTGCAATAATAATTGAAAGGTAAACAAAATAGGAGACTAACACCCAAGAATAGTCGAGATAAGTACAGAAGGTTTACTCCATGGCTTGGAGGCCAGCCGCACACGCTAGAGGAAAAGGCTCCTCAGATAGAGAAGGTAGCATCAAATAAAGGGTGTCGGGAAGATCCTCCGAGGATGGGAGATGCATGCTGAAAGTAGACTATAGATTGAACATGATTGCCACTCAATTCCTCTTTTGCAAACCACAGCACTCAAAAGGAGAGAGAGAACAAAAGGGAATGCCCTGCCACAGAGGCAGGATGGGATGGGGGACATGGGGGTGGGTGGGAGGAATACTGGGATTAGTGGTGGTGGAAAATGGGCACTAGTGGAGGGATGGGTACTCGATCATTGTATAACTGAAACCCAAGCACAAAAATTTGTAAGTCTACAAGTGTACCTCATGGTGTTTCACCAATAAAAATTTTTAAAAATGTCGCATTTCACATAGAGGTTTCAGATATGATTTCTATCTAATGATCTGTTATCCCAGCAAAGAGTATTAAAACAGTCACTAAAGGATGAACCTTGAGGAAGCTTTAGGTGTTTTATATTAAGGACTTTACTTTCTATTAAAGATGGGGAGAATCCTTTGATGACTAACAGTTAAACAAAGAGCTTGGGTGGGTCATTTTACTGACATACTAATTAAGCCTTTGAATATTGGCAGAAAATCTAGCTGATCACCATGCTTGTGTCTCTTCCAGGGCCACAGAGGAGAAACAGGACCAGTAGGACCTCCAGGCTTGCCAGGTAAACTGGTGAGTACTATGCCCGTTCTCCAGAAATAGGCTATTTGCTTCACACCAAACACAAGAAAACTTTTAAAAATAAACAAGAAAAGAAAAACCATGGTTCAAAGGGTGATTTAATGATTCTTTACTTCACCTGTTTCGTGAATACGTGCAAGTGAAAGCATGACACTCAAATTTTAATCAGCGTGGCACAGAAGGTTGCATTTGAAAGCTGACAGAGGCATTAAGTGCTACACTAGGTCTTTGGTTTTTCTTGGAATCCGAGAGAGTTGGACGTGAATGCTGCCTTTTATTTCTTTAGCAAAACTTGTTTACACAGTAAGAGACGTTGGTGGGCTGCTGAAAAAGAGCTCATGGTGAGGAAAAAGTACAAACCTCCATCTGGAGGTCCTTAGAGGGAGGGAGGGAGGGAGGGAGGGAGAGAAAAACTGGCCCCTTTTCTCCTCAGTGGTGGGAGAAGGCAAGTTTTAAGGAATAGAGTTCAATCAACGAGAGCACATTTGTCTAGACAGCATACAACACACCCAAAGTTGAGAGTGGCCATGTGTGGTTCAGAATTGCGGTTATGTGGTTTTCAAAGACCCGTGTTTGTTTTTCAGGGTTCAGTTGGGAGTCCTGGCCTCCCCGGCTTACCTGGTCCACCAGGACTTCCTGGAATGAAAGGCGACAGGGTAAGGTGGTGTGCAGTGCTTTAGAACAGTCCTTATTTGGAAGGTTGATTTCGACTGTGTGGAGGAATCAGGCGTATTTTCGGCCTAATGGGAAAATGCTCCTAGAATTTATTATAGAGAGCCCAAGAAAAACATTTTAAAGTACTGAGAATTGAGTCTGAGTCAAAAAAGACAAGAAATCAATATTATAATTTATCAGACAAGAAAAGCTGAGAAAAGTAAAATTTTCAGTTTTAATAACCCTTCCTATTTGGTTTTCATTTTTCATTCCTACTTGTCCAATTTTATGTGGATATGATCAGGGAACCCCACAAGTTGTCAGAGATTTTTGAACAATTGTGAATTTCTTCAGGATTTAACTCTTACTCTGTGGTGAAGAAAGGAGGTAGTTCTCTTGTGTCACATTTTTCACTCTTCTGCTTATTCACCAGCCTAATGGGGGAACTGGCTTCTTTGACATGAAATAGTGATTTATTTATTTACATCTCAAAATACTGAAAAATAAAAATTTTTTTACAGGGTGTTGCTGGTGAACCTGGCCCCAAGGGTGAACAGGTAGGTGCTATCATTTGAATACCACCAACCACATGTGACATAAGAGATGGAAGCTAATTTTTCCTGAACTGCTTTATAGGCAGTGAAACCTAGAATTTAGCTTAGTCTATAGTTGTATCTACTGTTTAAATAAACTGGTGCTAATGATATTTCTATCTTCTAGACTAGATCTTGTTTTCCTCTTTAATGTAGCTCTCTCTTTGCTTATCATGCTGATTGGTTGTCTCTGATGGAGTCTTCCATAGCCACACAATAATGTTTTAAGTTTGCTCTTTAATTTTTTTATATCAAAACTTCAGACGATGCAAATAGGTTCCCCACCCACTTCCACTTCTCTCTCTCTCTCTCTCTCTCTCTCTTTACTTTTACTGTAATATTACACCCCCCTGCCCCCCGTTGGTCCCATCAACGGCCAAGACACAGAGACTTTAAAACCCAGCTCCCGGAAGTGCGCGGCTGCATTTGCGGCCGCGTGGCATCTTTTTATTTTATTTTTTCCTTTGGAGAACCTGGCAGGCTACCAAAAGTATCCTGCCCGCACGGCAGAGTCTGGCAAACTTCCCGTGTCGTACTCAATATGCCAAATACCAGTAACAATGATGGGTCTCATTCTCCTAATCCTGAAAGAGCATTGGAATGGCTCTTTTAAAATCTTAGGGCTAGGAAGAAGGAGACGTTACTGGTGCCTGCTCGAGGAAATCGACGAATAACAGGATGATCGTGATTGTGATTACCCCCCCCCCCCCAAGTACCTAATTATAAAATTTCTGGGTATAGTCATTAACCCTAAATTTTAGTGAGATTTAGAAACTCACCTTTACTTTTAGGCTTTTCTTTAATCTACTGATATCACTAGCCACCAATAGCTATAATGAAAAGTCATTGAGAACACATAGTTCTATGTGATTCTGGGAGCACTTACGAATATTTATTAATGCAGATTGGTATTTGAGTTTGAATTAAATTTGAATTAAAAATTCAAAAATGTCTTTTAACCTTAAATTTAGGGTGCCTCTGGTGAAGAAGGTGAAGCAGGAGAAAGGGGCGATTTTGTAAGACTCTTTTTTTTTTGGTTGTTGGGAGTTAATAATTTTTTAAAAAAATATTATTTTAGTCAGTGTAATTTATACAACTTTTAATGATAAGATTATAAGATTTATGCATACAGTGTATCAATATCACACCCTCCACCAGAGGGTCGGCTTCCCACCATTATTAGGAAACTCTGATTTTGAACTGTATGAGAAACAAATTTTCTTTTCTCTGACACTGTTGTTCTTGTTGCCTTTAAAGATTACGATATTTCTTATATAGGGGCTGGAGCGATAGCACAGTGGGTAGGGTGTTAGCCTTGCATGTGGCCAACCCAGCATCCCGTATGGTCCCTCAAGCACTGCCAGGAGTAATTCCTGAGTGCAGAGCCAGGAGTAACCCCTGAGCATTGCCAGGTGTGACCCAAAAGAAGCAAAAAAAAATTCTTTTTCTGGCGGTGCTCACGGGACCATATGGGATGCTGGGAATCGAAACTAGGTCCGCCACGTGCAAGGCAAACACCCTACCTGCTGTGCTTTCACTCCAGCCCCACCCAAAAGATATTTCTTATATAAACTAACAAACAGCCCCCTCCCTGAGATTCCAGTTAAGTAAACTAAAATAGGAGAAATTATCCAAAATGGATGATGTTGGCTATAATCACTTGGAAGTCATTGTTCCAGATGGTGAATTGTTTCGTGATTTTAAATGTAGACCTCATTCAGGATGAATATGAATATGAATATGTTCTAACAACATTTTTTGTCATATTGATTTAGGGAGATGTAGGACTACCTGGCTCAAAGGGATCTGTAAGTATAACAGTAATAGTAAAAAAATTAATAAAACTATAGAAAATGTATTACTTGGTTTCATGAAACCTATAAAATTAAAAATCATAAAAAATTGACTTAAAGGAAATGAATGCCTAACTTAATTTTTAAAGTAAAGAATTAGTAAAAATAATGATACAACCATCAATTTCATCAAAGCTTCTTCCTTTTGAACTAACAACTCTAATAGAACTTTTTCTTTTCATCTTATATATAGCTCAATGGGAATTGCAAGCTAATTTTCTCTACATGTGGGTCTTTTTTTTTAAAACTGACATGTTTCTTGGCAATCAAGGTATAATTTAATTTGGTAGTAGTTATACCATTGCAAATATTTCAGTAATTTTCTTAATCTCTTGTGTGTTATACTTTTGGAAGTACATAGAAGCATAGTGTGTAAGAAAACATAATAGAGACTTATTAGTACCAGAAAAAGGTTTATCATGTTTTTTATTTCTTAGAAGTGAAACTGGTGTCCTTAGAGATCAGATGTATTCAGAATTATAAATCTAATTAGCAAACCAGGGATGATTTATAATTTGAAAGGAATATCTAATACAATAAAGAAATAGGGGATAATTAAAAGAGCAAAGATCAAATAGAAAAGATCAAGCTTGGACCTCTGTGTCTAATGACACTATTCTCACATCTCAGTTCATTTCCACGTCCTTCCTCTTCTGGACTCTTTCCTTCTTCTTTCTGTCCCTGTCCAAAACTGTATACTCATGAAAACTGTAAGAAAAATCCCATTATTTATCCCTCTTTTGCTTAAAGTCCTCCAAGCATAATGTTTCAGAGAATAAAATTAGACTCCTAGCAAAGTATAAAAAGCCTTCCATGAAGTGTGGTTTCTGTCTTGTCTTGACAACCTCACCTTGTCAACCTCATATCTAGAACTTTATCTCTTCACTGTTCTTTCATGACATGATGTTTAATGCCTTGTACTGTTCTACTACTCTGGAATACTCTTTTTCTCCTTACATTTAGTGCCTTCACCAATATTTAAGTATTTAGACTCATCCTCAATCTTACTTTTTTATAGGAGAGCCTACCCACCTGTGGTTATAAGTCCCAACCCTGAGCTCTTAACACATCACCGAGATGGAGAGGTAGAGACTGTCTCTGGGCACTCTATGGCCATCTCAAGATGCAAGAAACATCTTTATGCCTACAATCTTTGACAGAAATGGTTTAAGATTGAGAAAAATACAAATAAAAACTTGAATAAATATGGGAATAGAAATCTTATTTCACTATCTAGTAATAGGTAATAATTGAGAGTAAAAATTCAAGATCTAAATTTAAAAAGTGAACAAACACTGTAATGGCCAAGATAAGTTAATTTCATTTAAATATGAGTGTTTAGCATCAATTCACTTTATTACCTCCCATACTATCCCAGTCTTCTCTGACATTACCCAGGTGATACTACTGTGTTATATTTTCCCATCTTTAGGAGCAATGAGAAAGACTCAGTTTCTTTTCTTTTTTTGTGGGGGTGGGGAGGCTAGGTGGGTGACCCAACCAGCAGTGCCAACCAGCAGTGCTTGGGGCCTACTCCTGGTTCTGCGCTCAGGGATCAGTCCTGGTAGGGCTCAAGGGTCCATTTGGGGTGCCAGGGATTACATCTGGTGCTTGCAAGGCAAGTACCCTACCCACTGTACTACCTCTTCAGCCCCAGTGTTCTCATTTTCTGCCCTGAGATTAGCAAAGACAGACTTGATAAGTAAGTGAAGTCTGTATCTAGTTTCTATATCAAAATACCTAACTGAGGGATGGTTTCCCAAAGGCCTGGGGCCCATATCAACTCCTGACTCTTGATTGCTTCATTAAAAAAGTCCTGTTTTTGGCTCCAGCAATTTTTCAAACTCTAGCAATATTGCCAGCAAGAGATTGTACTTTGATTTCGTCTCCATTGTTTTCTGACAGTTCTTAAGAGCATTTCTAAATTCATTTGACTTCTCTTTTGAATCGTTTTAAAAATTGTTACAGGTTTGGGCTGGAGAGTGTCTCAGAAGTGGAACACATACCTTGCATATCTGAGGGCTCTGGGTCTGATTCCGGCAATGCAATGCAAAAGAAAATAATTTTTTTATATAGTTTTACACACTAGATTCCTGACAATTCTGAACTGTCTGTTGCAAATCCTTACCTCTCCTATGACTCTGCCTTTCAGGAAGTCTGTTAAGCCAGAATTTCATCATAGAAGCAACTTTGACAAGTGACTTAGATGAAAATCTTTATTTTTTTTTGCATAAAGAGAAATTGGAAAAAGTCCATGTGCTGATCATTTTTTAGATATGTCTGCTGAAAGCCTTGCTTCATCACCTTTTCTTCATTTAAAAGACTTGAATGTTTGAAAGAGTTAGGCCTTTCTAGATAAATGTTGCATATGAAGAAAAAGCAAATTAGGTTGCCTTATGAACATTCATATCTTGAACATTAGCATTCCCTTGCTGCTTCTTGTTCCTTTATCTTCTCATTGTTATTCTATAAACAACAGCACACTGTACTACTATGTCAAATTTCAAGAGAGGTAGTTTAACAAAAATGAATCAATTTAGTGTCTCTTTTAAAGTCATTATTGTATATAATTATTTAAAAAGTGCTTTTAGAGATTATGCTGTAAAAAATCTAAGTGATATATTTTTTTTGCTAAGGAAGCAGTTTATTATTTATGTTTTTAAGCATTTATATTTTTAACTCCCATAAAACATACAGTATTAAATTATTTTGTTCCAGAATTTTAAATGCGTGAACTTAAATGAATCATTCTGCACTTTTTAAATGTATTGTTTAATTTATGTTAAATACATTTGACCCTTAAATCCTCCAAAAATATTATAGCAACAAGATAATTTTCTTGAGACATTGTAGTATTATGTTTTGGTGACTTATACATCCTTATATAAGAACTCATGACTTCTTTCTGATCAGAAAAAGTTAACAAGCTTTATTAAAAAACTAACAAGCAGTGTGTTTAAACTGTTAGCAAGTGGCTTAAAGTATGAAGACTATGATTTCAAAATATATTATTCCAGTTGATATTTTGAATTCATTCTTATGCAAAAAAGAAACTTTTTAAAGTTTACTTGAACAGACAAGTTAAGACCTTGGTGAATTGGTGGAGGACATGATGTGTCTTTAGCTTGATGGTTTATAATCTCAGAATGAACACTTCTTAGCAGATCAAAATGTAATAAATCTCCAAACTCCTGTATAGAGCATGGATTCATGTTAAACAGAAGCATTCCTTGTCTAGAGCCCTGGTTTAACAGTGCGCTCGCTGTTTTGTTTCAGGTGGGAAACCCAGGGGAGCCTGGCCTGCGGGGGCCTGAAGGTGTTCGGGGCCTTCCTGGTGTGGAAGGACTCCGGGGACCGCCTGGACCTCGAGGCGTGCAGGGAGAACAGGGTGCTACTGGCCTTCCTGGCATCCAGGGTCCTCCAGTGAGTTTCCACAGTCCTTGTGCGCTCCCTCTGGAATCTTCATCCCACAACACTAGAGCTGGCAGGGGGTAGGATGTGGTGGGGGCGGGTGCCGACGGCAACCTCAGCTTCTCAATAGTGTGTGCCACACAGTCTCTTGGAAAGTCACTTGGTTCCTTGCCCAGTCTGTTCGTTTGTCGGTTCACAAAGGCCTCTTTATGGTATAAATTCGCTTTTCCTTTTTCATCTCAGGGTCGAGCACCGACAGATCAGCACATTAAGCAGGTTTGCCTGAGAGTCATGCAAGGTAAATAAATCATAAGGGCTGGACTCAGTCTGCTTCAAAGTTGGAAGGTTTTGAGCAATAATAATAGCAATTCTGTTATAGCCAATTCTGCTGCTGCTATCTACAAGAAAGCATAGGCTGAGAGAAAAATATTTGCTTTCTCCTTTCTGAGTTAGCCTCGTTCCTCTCACTCCATAAGGTTCATTTCCAAGAAAGTTCCGTTCCAAGTGCTCTCTCTCTCTCTGTCTCTCTTTTTGTCTCTCTGTCTCTGCCTCTGTCTCTCTATCTCTCTCTGCTCCCCTCTCATACACACACACACACACACACACACACACACACACACACACACACACTTTTTTTCCCTTTTGGATATCTCAAGCTTTTCTTCCCCCTCTTACCCTCTCAACACTGCCAGTTAGTGCATACCAAGCACTGATCTAGGCTCCCACTATAGATTACATATTAAGTGATAGACAATATGCCTATAAGAGGCATGGGATATCCTGTGCCACATGGGGAAAAATTAGTAGTATTTACCAAAACTATGTATTTTCCCATTTTTCTTTCTTTTTCTTCTTCTTTTTATATTATTATTATTATTATTATCGAAGGGCTGGAGCGCGTGCAGCCAGCCCAGCTGAGCCGGGTTTGATTCCTCCGCCCCTCTCGGAGAGCCCGGCAAGCTACTGAGAGTACCTCACCCTCACGGCAAAGCCTGGCAAACTCCCCATGATGTATTTGATATATTTGTTATGTATATATTTAATATGCCAAATACACTAACAAGTCTCAAAATGGAGACGTTACTGGGCCCGCTCGAGCAAAATCGATGAACAACGGGAGGACAGTGTATTTTGTTTTTATTATTATTATTATTATTATTTTGGCTTTTGGTTTTGTGAGTCACACCTGGTGCTGCTCAGGGGTTACTTCTGACTCTGCACTCAGGAATTACCCTTGATGATGCTCTGGGGACAATATGGGATGCTGGGGATCGAACCAGGTTAGTCATGTGCAATGCCCTACCTGCAGTATTACTGCTCCAGCCCCTCCTCTAATTTTATCGGTAGTTCTACAATTGTTATTTGTCATCACTGTTTTAGAATTGTCTCTATTTAAAATTACTCAGAAAATGAAGCTGTAAAGAAGTACATGATACACTGTAATGTTGGGTCTTGTGACAAATATCTTATTCTTGTTGGAACCAACTCTATTATGAACAAATTCACTTGAAAGCTAATCTTGTAGACATTTTGTCCTGAAAGATATTTGAACTTTAAGCATATATATTTAGAAAATTAATGTTTCTATGCTAATTCCTACTTACCTAAGGCAAATGTATACTTGCATTTAAACAGGTTTACAATGTTAGTTTGAAATCTGTTTTAAATTCATATCTTTCTTCACACCCTATGACATTAAAAAAATTACATTTGAACATTTCCCTTAGAGTATTTTAATAGGAAATTTTTCTTTATCTCCATGGTTTTGGTGGATGTTTCTTAATCAATTAAATGTTTCAGAAAATATCCACAGGTATTCATTTTTAAGACAGACTGTGATCATTCTCAGGAAGCAGAATATTTTTAATGTCTGCTATTACAAGCTTTAAAAGAAATTTCAAGAGGAAGAATTTATAAGAAGTCATGAATTCTCAGGATATTTCAGCTTGCTTAATATCTTCAAACTAAAATGGAAAGCTAGTTCTCAAGTGACATCTCAAAAATAATTCTGGATATTGTCCTTGGATTTAAAAAGCTTCTGGACCGACTTCTCATTGTGAAGAAGCTCATTTTCTTCCTATCCTGAGTTTTCAGATACCAGGCTAGGATTCAGGCAATACACTCATCTTTTTAGGACACCATTCACCCTAAAGCCCTGTAGTTAAAGGGATTTTTTGGTTTTTGTTTGATCCTTCTCCCTTTGTCTTAAAATTGGCAGGGCCAAATATATCTAGGGAGAGTGGAATAAAACAGCAGTTTTTGCTGGCAAAAAAAAAAAGAAGAAGAAGAAGAAAAGAAAAAAAAGAACTTGTGATTGGGGGTGGGAGGTGTGTGGGGGGGGCGGGGGGGGGGGGGAGATCCGGAGGCAGAAGATACTGGGATGGTGTGGGGGGGGAGGCAATGAGATTTCTTCATTTCTCCTCATCAATTTTAAAGCTCTCGTGACACGCTAAAAATAAAAAAACCAAAAAGCACCTGAAAAGCTTCTCTGAATCAGTTTCATGTTCTGACAGTTTTGGGTTGTTTTGTTATTTCTTTAGAGCATCTTGCTGAGATGGCTGCTAGCCTCAAGCGTCCTGACTCCGGAGCCTCCGGCCTCCCTGGCAAGCCTGGGCCCCCTGGCCCCCCCGGGCCCCCAGGAGAGAATGGTTTCCCTGGCCAGATGGGCCTTCGGGGCCTACCAGGCATGAAAGGCCCACCTGGTGCTCTTGGTTTGAGGGGTCCTAAAGGTAAGCCTTTTTGTGCAGATGGGAATGAAGGAACTTACCTTTTCAGATATGTGTGTGTATTTTACAAGGACTATTGCATGATATTCTCTTGACCTGGGTGTATAACAAGCAGTATATTAAAAGTACTGCCAGAATGATATTATCATTCTCTTATACTTTATCCCAGTCAATCGTCAAATAAACATCACAGGATGTGGTAAAAGTCCATTCAACTATGTATTATTTTGAGATGCTAAAATCACTGGAGAACCCTTTCAATGATGCCAACCATCCTTAGAATACTTGTTACTTGAACTAACAGAATTTTGTTAGCAGGGCTTAAGAAAAAAGATACGTGAGTTGGAACCACCTCAAATTTCTTTTACAAAGTGACACTATTGGGACTAGAGAGATAATACAGGACCTATGGCCTTTGTATCTGTCAGACCCTGGTTTGATCCCTACTACCACAAATGGTTCCCTAAGCACCTCCAGGAGAGATCCCTGAACACAGAGCCAGGAGTAAGGCCTGATCAACACTGGGTGTGGTCCCCAAGTGTAAATAAATATACACAAAAAGTGGTATTCACTGTATAGTTTTTGTAGATTTCCTTTTGTAGTTTTGAAATGCAATCTTTATTCCTTCTTCAACCTATGAGAGTGTGAATTATCTCCTCTTTTATTTAAAGACAGTAGCTATTGTAGCTAGCATTGTGCAGAGAAGCAGGGTTGTGAGTGTAATGTTAGGTAGTGTTTCCTCTGGTGGTGTTTTCTAGTTAAGATGAGTATAGGAACTTGGGGTGTGTATGTTCTTTGGATAATTGACAGAAAGAACCAAATAAAGTGGGAGAGTTTCTACGTCTTGACAGAGATATTTGGGAACTTCAGAAAGCTGTGCCATCGGACACGAACGAGATATTTTTTCTTTCAAAACAGTGTACTTCTCTGTAGGGTAAATATTATGGTATGAATAGTCAGAGGGCAAGTGAGCTGACTTTTTGGATCTATAAACGAATTGCTGATGCATTTGGCTCACAACACCCTCAGCTGGAACAATTTTGTTAATTACATTTGATTTTTTTTTTGGCATGTGCAGTGGTGCATGTAAAGAAATGAGCCTTAATTGGGGTCTCTTGTAAACCTGGCACGATTTCAGAATTTTTAGAAACGGCCAAAATCAAATATTGAACTAGATATTGTTTCTGGAAGAATCATAGAGCTAGTCCTTTGTTTTACTTTTTTGTTTTACTCTTTGTTTTACTTTTAGCTATGGTTCAGAGACTCATGTTGAAGATATTCTCTGAATAGTTAGCCCCTAGTAAGTCTCTAAATCACTTTTAAAAAACTCTGCTGATGCTAAGACCATGGTGGAGGAAAGTGCCCATTCAGGCAGAGGGTATAATAGAATATTATATACAGGAAACCTTATTATTAGCTGTACTGATCATGGCAAGTCAAATAAAATTGAAAATTACCAAAAAAAAAAACCACAATAAAACACCCCCTCTCCCTCTCTCTACTCCAATCTGGTGTATTGTTGGTTGCAACAGTTTGCTTGTGCCCGAGCCCATGGATGACTGCTCACTCTTTTCAAAATTCATACTAGAACAGGGTCGTCAACCTTTTAACACCTGTGGGCCAACATCTACTTGCATCCTGGTCCATAACCATTTATAGCCACTGCATTTATAACCACTGTGATAGATCACTGGTTTCCAGTCTTCCTACTGCAGACTAGCTCCCATCCATGGGCTGGCAGGTTAAGACTTCTGTGCTAGAGCAGTGGTTCTAAAAGAGTGGTCCCTGGAGTGTCAGTATCACCTGGAGTCTTTTGAGGAATGCACATTCTCCAGTCCACCCCAGACTCACTGGATCAGAAACTCTGGAGGTGGAACCCAGCTGTCTGCCACTAACTGCCAGGTGCTTCCGATAGAGCTTGATGCCTGTGTGAATCACTCTTTTTCCTACTGCAAATGAAAAGAAATGTTTTGAAAAAAAATAAGAAAAAGAAAAAAAAGAAAAGGAATGTTTTGGAGGGGCTCTAAAAATCATAGCTTTCTTTGGCTAAAAAGAAGTCTTCATATTTGGGGGTAGAGCTTAACACTGAGTTAGTACCAGAACTCTCCTGAAGTCCATCTATTCTCTTAAGAAATAAAACCATCCCTGCAATTTGCTGAGCTCATATAGTTAGCCCAAAGCTGTGTGCCTTTAGCTGGGCTGTGCACTGGGATCACCAGGGGAACTTTAAAATCTCCTCACCTTTGCTTTTCCCTCACAGAGATTCTGACTTAATTGGACTGGGCATGCGGATTTAAAGATATTTTACAGGTGATTTTAATGAGCAACCAGGGATGAGAACCACTGGGCATGGGAAATGTTCTGGAAATGTCCTGGGAAACTGACCATTATTGAATTATGGCTAGCTAGGAAAGGCACAGTTCTCTGTCACAAAGGAAACTTATTTTTGTTATTTTATTAAACTTTTTTATTGAATCACTGTGAGATATACCCTTACAAAGCTGTTTATGATTGGATTTCAGTCATACAGTATTCCAACATCCATCACACACCAGTGTACATAGGAAACTTATTTTGAAGTAATGGGATGTATTTCTATATTTGGGGAATGCTTCTAGCCCTAAGTTCATTTATAAGTATAGTTTTACTTTATTAAGGACTTCCCCCTAACTTTTCCAACTTAGTATTTAAGATGTCGTCTATTAGCTAAATGGCATGTAGCCCTTTTCTTTTTATATGAGACAATTTCTTTCTCCACCTTTCTCTGTTCTTTTTTTTCTTTTCTTTTTATTTTTGTCACTGATTTTTCTCAAGGACCACTTTTACTGTTTTCTTTACCCAATCACATCTGAATTTGAGGTATAGACAGAAAATAATTATATTTTCTTAATCAGTCACAAAACTGTGGATATATGATTCTAGATAACTGGACATGACTCTCTTGTCCTAACATATACAGTAACAGAAGTTTTTAGAGACATGTAACATTGTACCAGCCAGAGATTACAAATCAAATTTGCTGCTCTCACATATAAATACTCTATTATTTGAAAGGTAAATATTCATCTAGAAATGTGTTTTTATTATCACCTATTGCCTTTTCCCCTTTAATGAAGAAGGGATGGTACACATGTTGCTCAGCCATATACTCTCTTTGGGAACCTTTTCCCAGAAAAAAATGCTACCTAGTTAACTTCACTTGATCACTTGACATCCCATTACTCATCGATTTGCTTGAGTGGGCGCCAATAACATCTCCATTCGTCCCTGTTGCATGCTACTGTAGCCCAGTGGTGTCAGCTCAATCTAGGAACACGAAGAGCCTCAATCTGTTCATTCAGGGTCTTGATGAAGAAGTCTGACCATCTTGTAGGTGGGTGGCCACGCGATCTCTTGACGTCCCGTGGAATCCAGTCGGTAACAGTTCTAATCCAGTGGTTGTCTCCAAATCTCATTACGTGTCCAGCCCATCTGATCTTCGATACTTTGGCAAATTTAGTTAATTAAAAAGCAAAAATCAGTAAAATTTCCTCAAGCTCTGTCTTACTCAAATTATTGCTTTCCTCATTAAAAAAATTTTATGGAATTAGAATTGGTAGACAACATATCTTGCAGGTAGTGAGGCTCTGGGTTCAATCCCAGGTGCCACATGGTTCCTGAGCAGTGCCAAGTGTATTCATCCACAATAGCAACAGTGACACAGAATTCCTCTAATTAACACTGGAGCATTTTCAATAACCTGGCAGAAAGATGTCTCAATGATTACTCAGTGCTTTAATCATATTTATAACATCCCCTTATTTCTCACCTGCTAGTCTTCTCCAGTATTACACAAATATGTTAGGGCCCAGGTGGGCATTGCACCTACATCTTATGTGAGTACTCAAGCTGAGTACCATTCCAGTCCTACTGGCCCTGTGCTCTGTTTAGTATCTCAAGCAAAAGGACTATTTTTAAATATTTCTGATTTGGACTAATTCTGAGTGGAACTCTATATATTTTTAAGTCCTTCTAGTGTGAGTCAAACAGATGTGTCAATATGCGAATGAAGGCTTGAGAAAATAACTGCCATATTTGTGACTAACACTTTTTTTTTCAGTATTAATTTGCTTGCCTGGAAATGAAGCATCAATTATAACTTTCAAACAAACAAAATTGATAACAAGTATGGAGGGGATTAGACAGTGTTTCTATATAGCTACTCGTGTTCTTGATGAGCTTTTTTCTACTCCAATTGCATTGGAAGCTTATTCTGTAAGCTCTTTATGTGTATTTTCTCACACAGTGGGATAAGACAGGGAGAACTTTAGTTCCTTTAGTTGGTTTTCTTGCAGCTCAGAGGAACGTATGCCCAGGGGTTGGAGAAGAAGATTTAACACTGGTGATAAGTAGAACCAATGTGCTCACACAGTTGACTGTAGACCTGCAGTTTACAGTGTGGCTCTGTCTTGGAGTTCATCGAAAATCTGTTTTTCTATGCCCAACCCCTCCCCCGCAAAATTAAAATAGTATTGCAACGAATTCAGCCATGTTATTCCTGGCAAGTAATATTTTAAAGATAGTCTGGATTCACACCAGAATGTGTTTAATTTTCACTAACAGTGTGAAAGTTGCATTTTAATTTATAATCTTCATCTCCTATCTTCAGAAAATACGGCACGTTTAAAGATCTTCTCATTGCCAGCCTCCAGAATTACTGTGATATGACATTTGAATCACCATGTTAGCAAGACTGCTTAAGCTTTTAGTCTTTAAAATGCTTGTAGTCACATTTTCCTTATATAGTAAGACCCTATTGATGATGCAGTGTGAAAAAAACAAAACAAAATAAAACAAAACAAAAACAACCAGTTTATCTGAATATAAGTTTGACCTGAGCTCCTTGTCCTTAAATAGTATTTAAAAAAATTAAAATTGTTTTACAGATGTTGTTGATTCAACACTAAAATACTCATCCAAGGACCATTCACAGCTAAAATTAATGGGACCAATCCTTCACTTAATTAGGGATTTCTGACTATTTCACTATCTGCAGAGCTTATTTCTTATCCTGTTGTGCATATGCCTTTATTTGTAAAATTCTTTTAAAATGATTAACGCATTTGATTCAATATTGAATGAAGAAGTGATTTGAAAAAAAATAATGGTAGAATTTGTTGCATATGGTGTCTTCTGAAAGCATGGTAGGATAATGATATAATGCTGTACTAATGAGATAGCAGAACAATGCTTTCTACTCTGAGCAGTGGAAGTCATTCTGGACCTGTTAACTAAGGTACAGGGCATTTGGTTAATGAGGCCTCGTTTCTAGGTTTGGTCTCTGCAGGGCCCAGAATAATTAATGCAGTTTTCTTCTGTGACTGCTGAATCCCCACATTCAATCAACTGTCTTGCAAATGCATATGGTTGGCTGCAATCCAAAGAATATTCCCTATAAATAATGAGTGAAATGAAGGCGCTTGTGACAGCACACTTTATAAATCTTGAAAATTCTTTATATATTTGGCGATACTAAATTTGCATTGTTCACGACTTTAAAAAATGTATAAAAAGATATTTAGTGAAGTGTTTTTACCACACTCTCCCACCTGCCAGATACCGCTTATACTACCCATCAGGTAAATGCTATTATTAGTTGCTTATATATTCTGACCATCTATGATATATAAAGATAGTATCTCGCCCGCACGGCAAAGCCTGGCAAGCTACCCGTGACTTATTCGATATGCCAAACACAGTAACAACAAGTCTCACAATGGAGATGTTACTGGGCCCGCTAGAGCAAATCGATGAACACCGGGAGGACAGTGACATATATATATATTTATATATATACATATATATATTTCCCTTTATACTTTAAAAATTACACTGCCCTGTAGTAAGTGATATGTATCTTTAGTTTTTTCTCTTGATACTACTTACTGGAGATCACTTCAACAGTTTTCATTGCCGTTACATAGTATTCCATTTGGTGGAGGTACCATAGTCTATTTTCCTCTTAGGTGGACATTTAAGTGTTTCTAATCTCCTGTTGCTACAGGAGATTAGCTGTAGTGAAAGATGCTACACACACACACACACACACACACACACACACACACTTATATTAAATATTATATTATATTATATTCTTCCATCTTTCCTTCCCTCTGCTGATTTTCTTCACTTTCTCTTGCCTCTGTTACTGCAGTTGTGATGACCGGGGATCAAACACATTCCTGGTCGGGTGTTCACATATTTTGTTTTGGGTCGCACAGGGGTCATACCTTTTAGTTGAGGTGCTTCATCAATCTGCCGGCAGTGCAGACAGAAATAACTTGCAGTGCTGGGGATCTCAGGTAGTCAACCTGCCAGGCAAAAACAACAGAATTCCTAGGATCATGTTTGGTGTGTGAAGTAGCAATGGGATTAAAGTCATAGTCTCACACTTGCAAGTCAGGTGCTCGCAATACTGAGTCCTCTTGCAGTTACCTGCACTTTCTACTCTAATCAGTGGTATCTGATAGTATATTTTCCCAGTCTGGCTAGCATGTGTTTAGTCATTCTTTTAATTTTTGCTGACCTTATAGGTTAATGTAAACTCTTTGCTATTTTTTAATTTATCAGTCTACTAAATAGTGCTCAGGGGACTCAGGGCTACTTCCAATGATACTTGGCTCCCCTGTGTAGACAAGAAGGTTATGTTGAAACCTGGTGATTTGTTGCTCTGAGGATGCTGGGGGTCACCAGGGTCCTACCACCAGGTTGTTTGCAGTGCTAGGAATCAAATTTGGGACCTCTGCATGCCAGAAATATGTTTCAGTCATTTAAGCAACTGATCTATCATTAATTTTGCTATGAGAGTAAAATTAGGGTGTTTTTCATTTATCTTGGGATCCATTTTATTTTATTCATTTGGATGTGAGGCTTGAGCTTTATCTGGTGGTGCTGAGGACTTACTCCTGGCTCTGTGCTCAGGATTCACTCCTGTGGCTAGTGGGGACAGTGTGTGGTACTGAGGATCAAAGCTGGGTTTGCCTGTTGTAAGGCAATAGCCTTATCAATGATGATATCTCTCTAGACCACTATTTTTGTTTTCTTTTAGTGATCTTGTTATGAATGTATTCTGGTGTGTGTGTGTATGTGTGTGCGTGTGCGTGTGTGTGCGTGTGTGCGTGCATGAGCCTGTGCATGTGTGTGCTCTCCGTATGTATTTTTGACCATTTCTTATTGATTTTTAGAAACTCTTCGTACTTTGAATCATAATAGAAAGGTTCACTCAAACCTAGAAGTATAAAATAATCATACCTTGTTTTCTTCTGGTTCTTAAATTTAAATATTTGATATTTTAAATATTTGATATTTGTAATTTATCATGAGGAATAAATCAGGTGTTTTTTTTCCTTTTTGGTCCATATCTGGTTGTGCTCAGGGAATATTCCTGACTTTGTGTCTAGGGAGCATTTCTGGCAGATCTGGAAGGTGGAGGAAAACATGGGGATCTGGGAATTGATCCTGGGTCAGCTATGTGAAAAGCAAGTGCCCTGTGCACTGTACTATCTCTCCATTCCAGGAGTGTATTTTTTAAAATGTTATTAACCACTCTTAAATTATTTTGCGTTTATCCACTTTAAGATATCATCGTCTTTATTATAGATCAAATTCCCATAAAAATGGAGACCTGTTTTTTTTAAACTTCCTCTGTTTCATTGGCCTGTTTATTTATGTCAGTACAATACTATTTTAGTTGGTTTCATAGCTTTCATTCCTTTCGCATATTTTTTCTTTTGAGAATTTTGTTTTGCTTTGTTTTTTGTTTGGGGTCATACCTAAAAGTGCATAGACGTGGCAATGCAATAGATCTACTCAACAAATTATATGCTGCTCTGAGTTATTCTTCTTTCTGTTATTCTGGGAGGACAGGCAGGGAAGATGAAGAGTACCCGTAGCTAATCTCCCCACCTTCTCAAACCCCGAACACAAAAGAACACTAGAAAAACAAAGGGGAAAACGCATAGAAAACCACCAAGTTCAATGAGTAAAAATAATATCACAGAAGACATGAATACCAGTAAATCCTCAGACAGTGTCTTTAGTGACGCTATGATGGGGATGTTCAATGAGTTCAAAGATACAATAGCACAGGTAGTCAGCGAAGCACAAGAAAGTATGGGGATTGAAATGAAAAATATGACGATTATCTTATTTTCACTTTTACATTGATTGATAAAATTAATTCAGGTTGTGCCTCACTGCGTATTTACTACCACTTAGTTTGTGGTAACTTAGTGATAATTTTGACCTCTGAATTTTCATTTGCTAAAAAGTTAAGTAATGTGTAAACTTTATAGATATAAAATAAAGCCGTGTAGAAAATTAACATCTCTCTAATGAAATGCAGGTGATACGGGAGAAAGAGGGGACCGTGGTCCTCCAGGAAGAGGTCCAAAAGGTTTGCCTGGAGCTATGGGTCTCCCAGGTAAGTGTGGTGTAGTTAAGCAATAATTGGTAGCAAATGAGTAGTCGTAATTGGGTAAGCGTTTAAAGAATTGTTCTTTGATTACTTAAGTATGTCAAGTGAAACTCAGTAATGACTGGTGTTGATATTTCAAGACCAATTTTAATGACGAGTCAAATGATCTGTTAATCATGACTGTAGGGGCTGGAGTGATAGTATAGCACGTAGGGCATTTGCCTTGCATGCGGCCAACCCAGATTTGATTTCCAGCATCCCATGTGGTCCCCTGAGCACCACCAGGGGTAATTCCTGAGTGCAGAACCAGGAGTAACCCCTGTTCATTGCTGGTTGTGAACCCTCCCCCCCAAAAAAGCAAAAAATATTATGACTGTAGTCATGGTGAGAAAATTAGTGGCAGGGCTTTAAAATACTAATTTCTTCAGTAGATCCTTCAAAAAAATTCCATCAAAGTTCAACCACAATGCACTTCTTACAAAACTCTGGATGCAATGAGTCCTATCTATTTCCAACTCCCTTGGTAGTTCCTTAGTTTTTTTTTTTTTCCCTTTAATTTATTTTATTTTTTTTAAAGTTGTAGATTTACAATTTTTTGTGCTTTGGTTTCAATTATACAATGATCAGATACCCATCCCTCCACCAGTGCCCATTTTCCACCACCATGGATAATATCCCTCCCAGGTAGTTCCTTAGTTTTTAACTAAAAAGTCAGGACAGTGAGGAAATTAATCCAAGTTTACAGTTATTCATGTTTTATAGGTTGTGTTAATATTTAAAAATCCTTTCTTTAAAATATCCAGATCTTGTAGGAATTCATACTTTCAAAATAAATAAACTTGGACGTTTCTATACTTAGCCACAAAGAGCCAGTCACAGCCATATATCACAGTTGTGTGCATTGGGAACAAAGTGGCTTCTGTGTGAAGTGCCTGCATTTCACTAGGAGGCTGTTTTCTCTTGACTCACTGGTTACTCTGTCACTGAGTCCAGTCCAGGCTGTAACACACTCATTCACTGGCAGAGTCGCAGAAGCCCAACCTCAGGCATAAGGCTGGAAGCCAGTTTAATTTAAGAGTATGAATGATACACAGCATGTAGCAAACCTCTTCCACTGTTGAGCCCATGGATCACGGAAGCTTCCCCGCCACCCCCGCCCCCAAGGCTAAGGAGAGTCAAGGGGACAGTGGTGCAGGGGAGGCATGTCTTTCCATAATGGATATGGAAAACTTGGTTAAGGGAAATTTGGGAAAAGAAATATCATTTTCTAATTCTGCCAGAGGCTTACATATTCAATCATGGCTATAATTGCAGCCAGAAACATCATTGCTTTCTAATTATCCATTTCATTGCTCCTGGGGATTGCTTTCTCATTAAGAAATTTAAAAAATATGAATACATTTGTAGATAGCTCAAACACTGCCTTTCAAGAGTATGATTCATGTGCACATCAAGATGTTTCACAAATTGATAAATTTGTGTGTGTGTCTGTGTGTGTGTGAGAGAGAGAGAGATAGAGAGACAGAGAAACAGAGACAGAGAGATTGGAAAAGAAAGCTTTTTATAATTTTAAAAGGAAAGGAAATTTGTTAGGGGTGGTTTCCACTATTCAGATCATCTTGTGTTCCAATTTTCACTTTGTCACTAATTAATTAGTAACTTATTTGCTCTGTCTCAGTTTTCTCATTTAAAAAATAGTAATAAAAATAGTGATAATGATATATTCCTCTATCATATAAGTCTGTGGATTATAGAAAATCAATCCATGTGAAAGTCCTGAGGGTAAGTTTTGGTTATAGCTCATTCTTGGAAATGTTGACTATTAATACCACTATTAATTAAAAAAAACACCACATTTGCTTTTTTGAAGCAAATCAAGAACTAAGGATAGAGCTGGGCCCTTGGAAACCCCTGTCATCCTTATTCACCTGCCTTTGAAGTAGCATGCCTCTCCTGTGTTCAGCATACCTTGAACCATCTCCTACCAAATTCTACTCCAAATTACAAAATACTGGGTTCCAGTAAATCATTTCACTGTTCTTCTCTCCCCCTCGAGAGGCAGGACTATTTTTTATTTCCCTGGAAGTACTTACAGTACGATAAGGAATGTGATTTTTTATATCTTATAAGCAAACTAATAAGAAATCTTTGGGGCTTGGGGCAATCTTCAATAGTATTCTGTGCAGGAATATGTCTGGAACCTCCAAGATAAATGTATACCTTATTTATGACCTGCAAGGAAAGGCCTGAGAACCAAATGTGGTGTAAACTTTGTTCCTGTTGTTAAATTTGGGACTTAACTTCCCCTTAGTAAAACAAAAAAAATAATTCAATAATTTTCCTTTGTTGTACTACTATATATGATATATTTTGGGGAAAATGCAACCCATGCCTTCATTATCTATCATTTTTTTCTTTGCTATTTGGACAGTTTTAGTTCTCCATCTTATATCTATATCTTACTATGTTCAATGTTCAGTATTATATTTTTTGTGGAGGGTTGGACCATTATGATCATTTTGGTTACAGTTTTCTATATTTCAAAAAATACACATGAACTGTCTGTTTCTTTCTTTCTTGGGGGTTGGGTATCACACCCGGCGATGCTTAGGGGTTACTCCTGACTCTGCACTCAGGAATTACTTCTGGCGGTGCTTGGGGGACCATATGGGATGCTGGGAATCGAACCCAGGTCGGCAGCGTGCAAGGCGAATGCCCTATCCACTGTGCTATCGCTCCAGCCTCTCTATTTGTTTCTTATAGCCAGTGGTAGATAGGGTAGATATTTAGGAAGTCTGAGATCTGGAGCCAGGCTCTGTTCACTCATTTACTTAAAGCCATTCTAGCTTTTAGTGATTCAGTTTTTTTCTCTGCATAACAATAATAAGCAGCTCTGCCCTGTGGAGTTGTTTAAGAGGGACTGTACACGTAAGAATATACAAAAAGTCCTTGGAAGCTGCTTACTAAATGGCAAACATTCTGCAACTTCAGCTGCGGATGGCTGTTATGCCCCTCTTTATAGTTGAGGAAACACAAAAATATAGTGGTCACCTGTGCTGAAAAGGCCTCTTAGGTAATAAGTGATAGAGGCAGGTATTTATGCTTCTGTGTCCAGGTTCAATGATGGATGGGTTGTCCAGTGATATGATTACCCTGCCATTGCCTGTCAACCTATCTGACACTAGCATACCCTGGAAGTTCCATTCTGCTTTTCTCTGAGAGCATCAGGATTCCATTAAACATCCCTGGAACAGTACCACCCCCCTCCTTTAGTTTCTTTCCAGAGGCCTTTAGTGGTACCACTTATCTGGGTAGTTTTATTGACAGAACTCTCTATGCCTGTGCCACCAAAATTGTCCATTTGAAACCAGATTCTTGGCATTCTATAGATTTTATGGAAAACGATTTAATCGTGAGTCCTGGTTTCCTCCTTTCTCCGTGCATTCAAGTTCACTGTACGAGTTCACAGTGACAAGTCAATCGTGGCTGTTACCAGCAATGTGACTTATGAGCTGGACTTATCAGCTGAGATGTTTTTCTCTTCTCGGATATGAAAAGCAAAGCTGGCCTTGTGCAGTTCCACACTAGACATCCAGAATATTCAGGTTTCCTCTGCAAAGCTGGCAAATTCGTGAGCTTTGCTTTTGAAGATGGAGTAGAAAACAAAACACCCCAAAACAAAAGGCACATTCAGTTAAGGCTTAACTGTAGCTGTAGTCATTTATCCTGTTTACACGACTGCGGGTAATTATTTCTTTATGTGGATCTTATATAAATAAACCACCTTATCAGCCCCTTAAACATATATACTTTGACAAATACCACAAAAAGTAAGTTAGTATAAAGTAGGAAATTATATTCCCTGGCACATACAAAAGAAATTTATATAACCAGTGTTTTTATAATCAATAAATTATTTCATGCTGAAAAGCATTGTTACGTTTTTAAAATATTTTGTTTTTGTTTTTCAGAGCCTGTGTATACACAGGCCCTTTGATTCTCTAATTAGATCTTTAAAATTCCACTTGCAATTGGCCTCTTTAATGTAACATCACTGCCCTCTTGTGTTCATAGAGAAAATGACAGTTGTGTATTTTTTTCAAAATTAAGGTAAAGGTAAAGGTAAAGGCCCTCCCGTTGATCGTCGATTTGCTCGAGCGGGCCCAGTAACGTCTCCATTGGAGACTTTGTTGTTACTGTGTCTGGCATATCGAATACTCTCAGTAGCTTGCCGGGCTCTCCGAAGCTTGCCGGGCTCTGGCAATCATATTTTTATAGGTTCTCGAGTTTCAGATAATTGTGTAATCAGTTGGTACTTCACATAGATAAGCCAAATAAAAACAGAATTAAACCATTTGAGATTTATGCTTTCACTTCTTAATAGTAAAAACGTAATTATCTGTATTTGTTAAGGTTGCTGCTGGATTTCACGAATCATTTAGTGTTATCCATTAATTAGGCTCCCACATAACAAAAACTTTACAGTACCACTGAGAATAATTTCCAAAGACCAGTGGTCATCAAACTAACAATCTGTTACGTGAAGGCTGTTCCCCATCCTTACCCCAATCTATCCCCCCCGCCATACAGACAATATCTACAGGACAATATCTCAGAAAAACATATTTGGTTTCTTATAAAAAGAATTTGAGGGGTTTCAGCAGTAGTAAAGCTGGTAGAGTGCTTGTCTTCCATGCTGCCCTCCTGGATTCGAACCCTGGCATCTTTTACGGTCCCCCTGAGTCCTGCAAGGTGTGGTCCCTGAGTGCAGAGACAGCAGGAGTAAACCCTAAGCACCACCAGGCAAGGCGAAAATATAAAATATATATATAATAAAATAATTAAAAGTCTGGATTAACAGAAACTTTAAAAAAACATATTCGAGGAAAAGAACCATTCCTAACTCATGGTTCTTGCTCCTTCCTTCCCTTTTCCCTGAGTTGTGTCAGTTCAGACCCAAAGAATTCAACCAGACACACTTCAAATGAGAAAATATTTCCTAAATGTGCTTAAATGGAGAACTAAACATGAATATCTAAAGAAAAAAGTTTCAGACAAGATTGAGCATATGTGAGATTTTGGGTTAAATCTTGCCCCTCCCAGACCCTTGATGACCCAAGGATGTGACCCTGGACCCTCTAGTACTACTGGGTGTGGCCCCTATACAAAATAATTAAAACATTTTTTTTCTTGCTTTTAAATATCCATCTATTAGAAAAGGAATTCCTTTACAATTCAGGCTTGAGGGAGAAAGGCTAGGTTTATTAATGCTGTTTTGAAAAATGGAATGACTTGTTAGTGTTGAAAAATGAAGGGAAATTAAAAGCTCAGTCCAATGAGTTTTCCTTTGAAGATGCTCAGAGGTTCTGGGAGCACTGGCCCTTTCCCCTCCAGCAGTTATTAGCTGGACCAGAGCTGCTGGTGACAGCCACACTCCACTTCACTACAGACCTCAGTGTTTCCTATTGTCTCCCTAACACTCATGTGGAATATCAGTGGCCAATTTTCATCTCACTTTGCTGTCAGTTTTCTTCTAGTAAAGACACTAGTGATGTAAGTGTTGGGGGTCATTTCCTTATTGCTTAGGAAGAAGGTCAGAAACTTTAGTAAGAACTTAAAGCCATCTGATTGTCTCTGAAACCTTTCAACCCACTGGATTGTACATACCCATCTAGATATCTCAGCCTTCAGAATAAAAGGGCTTCTGCTAGTAGAATGCAATTTGAATGAAATATAGTGTGAGCCCCGAATCCAAATTGTATTGCATAATTTGAAATCTTCTAGCAGCCCCATTAAAAAGTGTAAAACCAGCCTGGTAAAATTTATCTTAGTAATATGGTTTATTTAATTCCTCCCTGTGTTCCCCAAGTTATCATTTCCCCAGGGATGAAGTCCAAAAATTATTGATTTATTGCTTTTTGTTTTTCACACTGCCTTCAAAGTTTAGTTCTCTTTGACACTTAGTGCAGGGTAATTGATTGTAGCCCCTTTCAGGGCTCAATAGAAATATATTCTAGCTCTATCATTTTGGACATTTGTGACTCTGGTGATGGAAATGTGGGTCAGAGATGCTGAGGTCTCTTTCCACACTTAATTTTGAAAAAAAATCGATGGCCAGTGGATTTTCCCATCACCACTGTTTTGATAAGTACTTAAACTCCTGTGTACGCAAGGCTGAGCCCCTGGGCTCCTGTGCCTTCTGCCACTTGGCAGTCACATCCTGCTCATGTGTGTCACCTTTTGTTTTGTTTCAGGTGACCCAGGTCCTGCCAGCTATGGAAGGAATGGTCGAGATGGGGAGAGGGGGCCAGCGGGGGTGGCGGGAATTCCTGGGGTGCCTGGTCCTCCGGGTCCTCCGGGCCCTCCTGGTTTCTGTGAGCCAGCCTCTTGCACCATGCAGGCCGGTCAGCGAGCATTCAGCAAAGGACCGGATCAGTGACCGGCCAGTGAAGATACTGTGCTGTTTGGCTGATGCACGAACCCCAGCCCGGCAGTTGGGGAGAGAGGAGAAACAGCCCATGAAGGTGGGGCTGAAGACCCTCTGACGAATCCTACTTGACAATCAGATTGAAAACAATGGTGCTAAGCAGTAAATCCTCTTTCCTTTCCCTGGGAGGGAAGATGGGCAGTAGATTAGTGGGTCAAACAAAATAAAATAAATGTCCCCTTTCAATAAATGTCGAATCCTATCCTATCCTTTTATGTGCTATACTTCTGTGATCCATTGTGGGCCACTGTGCCAATAAACAAGAACAACTGTTTGGTTACCTCAGTGGTGGTAGTTATTTCCATTTTTTATTTAGATGTTGTTTTCAAACCCATTTTTCCGCTGTGTACAGGATTTTCAGAGTCATGATGAGGAAACCTGACTACGGTCAATAGAATTGGTGCTTAAAAATCCCACTGATGTGCTCTATTGGGCATGATCAGTGCCGTGCCACCTGGGAATGATTTTCTCACAGCTCATGTTAGTTTTCATGGTTGGCCTGATTTTTCTTGCTGAACTGCACTGTATCCCAAATCTATTAATGTTTTGAACTACTCTGTTAAAGCAAAGAAGGAATTTTAATATCCTGCATTCAAGAATTTTGCTGGTGAGATTATTTTGAAGGTTTCAGGTAACACTCTCTGGTTGTACCAAAGAAGAAATAAAAATGGTTTCTTAATCTCTTGCATGTTTTCTTATGAATGTTTTCTGTGCTCAATGGAAAGAAGTTATTGAGATTTTAAAAGTGTATTAAAATATTTTAATTGCTGGAGTGCCTGTAGGTACATGTTGATAATATTAGTGCCATTTTTTTCTTCAGAGTAATTAAAAGCCCTCACTGTTCTCTAGAGGGTGATACCTAAAAGTTTCTGTATATATGTGAGCGGTTCTAATGAAAACTACCAGTTTATACCCTGGAAAAATATAAAAACACATACACAAATACACGTTGTGTATTATCAGTGATTTCATGGATACCAAGCCTTGCTTGGTTTGTGTATTAGGGACCACTGCCTTCAATTCAATGGTTTATTAGTTCTCTCCTATTCAGAAATTCACTGTTACAAAAAATGATTTCTATTTTACGATTTTTCTTATACATCTTAGAAAAGCAGCTCAGCTAAAGTACATGATATTTTAGTCAATAAAAAAAACATTGCCTGACCACTCACACATTTTTAGTATTTACATAATCACATTGACTTGCTATTTTGGCAGCATCCATGTAAATCATCAAACAGACTTAATATATTCATGTTATGTCACAGTGCATATGAGTGACTTGTCCCAGGGCACAGCACAGTGCTCAAAATAGTCAATATCTTCAGTTAGTTATGGAACTCAATTCTCTCAAGTCAGTGGGGAGTGAACCCTAATAGGATTTTTGATATCAATCCTTTTCTATATATTTAAACATTTATTCCTATTTGTTTGGCTAAATCAATCATTATGTAATATGTATTTGGATTTCTTGGAAACTGCTTACAGCATTTAGTTTTATGCTTCTGTTATGGATTATGCTTACGGAAAAAGATTTCAACTTGTCTAGTGCCATTTACATAGACTGAGAAGAAAGTTCTTTATATAAAATGAGGAATTTTTTGATATATATATTACTTAGAACAATCTTTTTATAAATTACAAACTTCTTTAAGTACGTGGCATGTAATCAAATAATTTCAAAATGTTGCTTGACCTTTTTCACCAATACGGTTTATTTCAATTGGTGTAGCAATCAAATACAATGAAAGAAAAATTAAAAAAAAACAAATAATGTTTCTCAATTCTGGAACATTATGTTCATAAGAAAATGAAAAAAAAAATCAAAGCAAAGTTCATTTAGCTGTTCTACAAACTTGGTGTAACAAAATCCTTCCAACAAGCAGCACAGACAATATACGCGATATTGGAAACAACATTTACAAATAGATTATGTGGAACTAGTACACTCCAAATAGTGGGAACAATTCATTACAAATTCAAATTAAATGAAACAGTTTACAGAAACAGTAAATGTTTGAGAAATTGTGAAGTAAGGAATTCAGCAAATAATCCACATGAAAAAGTTGAGAAATGTCGAATTAGACCACTTTTCTCTCTCTTGCAAAATAGATCTATCTAAAACTTCTGAGATACTTTCAAAAGTTGAATGATCACCTAGAGCATCTGCTGAGAGAGGAGTGTGCAAACAAAGCAGGTTAGAGACTAGCATTTTACTCAAGGGGAAAGGATTTCTAATTTATTTCTAGTCAATGCTCCATTACTCTATGATTTTCATCCCACATACATAACAGATTGCTTACGGACTATGGAAATCACTTCCTGGTCTCAGTGAACACATAAATTCACCAGTATGGCTTAGAATAATTGACTCTTGTCTAGTAGAAGAGTGTGATTTTCAGTTATCTGATTATTTATGTGCCTTAAACATTTTAAGTTGACTAAATGATACTGCCATTTAACATTATTAGTAAAAAAAAAACTTTTGCAATATAAAATAAGCTTAATGTGAATCCATATTTTAGAAGATCACTCCTGATTGTATTATTTAATTTTTTATTAATATAGTGTTTCTTATGTATAATATTTCTGAGTTTAAACATAAACCAATAAAGGGAGAAAAGCACCATGAATGTAAAACATTAAGTCATACCAAATATCGTTTTCAACATGTCCTGGAAACTTAGCAAAAGAAGTTAAAATAAGGAATAATAAGAAAAAACCTATCAAACTAGAGCTTTTTACAAAGATATTGGACATAAATTTAAATATAAACTTAAAATTAAAACTTGTGTTCAATGAATATATGTAACCAATCCAATTTTTTATAGGATAAAATACTTTTTAGTTTTGTACTGAGCCTTCATCAGTGAACTTTCGTAGTGAATTTGTGATCTAGGACGTGGTTGTATTAAGAGCATGTGACTCAGTAAATATTAAAATAACTAACGAACATTACTACAAATATACATGTTTAAGTGCTCTTTATATAATTAACCAGAAGAAGTGAACAGATTAGATCTGTTTAACAGAATGGAGATGCAACTTAATAATATGAAAAGTTAGCCATTTATGCTAACTTTCTTCTTAATATGCCTTTATTCCTTGAGCTGGACTCTCAAGTTTTTAAATAGTAGGGAGAAAGAAAAAAAATGAGGGAAATTGGCTTAAGGAAATTGAATTTATTTCTGAGACTTATTTGAATTTGTTTTTTGTCTATCAAGCTGACTACATCTATGTGATAAGATGAATATTCCTTAAAGAGCAGTTGGTTAATTTTCTATATCACAAAGGGACCTGAAGAGGTGAATAGTTCACTGTGTAAAACATTTCCCAGTGTAAGTAAAAACATAAATGCACCGGCACTTAATGATGTGAGTAAATTCTGCTCAGGAAACATCCTATGTATCCAACTTCCTGTTGCCTAGATAGGGCTCTATGAAATAAGAATTCATATCTGTGAGAAAGTTAATTACAATGATTCTTATTTTTCCCTCTATTAGTATTGAATCTTAAATAATTTTAGTGAGTAAAGCATTTGCTAGAACAAAAGTCATCAAGAACTTCTTGATTTTTAACTTTCGTTTCTGCTCATAACTGTCCTCCAAAATTCTAAGGTTGGGCTTTTTATGACTGACCAAGGAGATGGGTCAGAAATGTAATAATAAGCATTGATTTGTGTGACAAACAAAAAATAGAATTATCATTAGAGTATAAACATCAACCCTGCAATAGACCAATTTATAGGTCCTTAACCCCTCTGTGGGGTTCATGCATGTGTGTGATATTTTTGGAGTTTCCTTGTGGTTGAGACCTAAGAGAATGAAACTGAAATGTGGAACTTTTAAAACCACAAGAAATGTACATGAATATTTATGATATAATAACTGCACCTTAAAAGTCCCTGACTTAGGGTCAAATCCTTTATTGCTGAGAAAAGTGACAAAGATTATTACATATCATAAATATATAGGAATCAAGGCCTCAAAACATTATATCCCAGTAGATATAGATTAAAAAGAACTAGTGTCATTCCACTTCACATAAGTAATAGCTTTATGTACGATAGAGAAGAAAGAAAGTGAGGGAAAAATGTGGTACTGTCACTTAAAAATAATTACAAAGTACACTGTAAAACAGTGTGAATTTAAATACATCAACACACTGGAAATATATATCCTTAAAATATACTTGAATGCTGCAAAATTAAAAGTTGCAAAATAAATTAGAATCTTTACACCCAGAAGCTTAATATAGCAAAATAAAGCATACCGTCTAATAAATTTAAATCTTATTTAACTACCCTATCCCTTAAGTTTAGAAAAATCTCCTACTTTATTAGCATTCACTTTTGACAAATTTATGGAGGAAACAATCAAGTCTTTGTATAGTATCATACATATATCACTTACTATTGGAGCTGGACATAAAACATTTCTATTTAGATTTTCTTAGACTTAGCTTTTTTTTTATAAGCCTGCCTTATCTCTGAGGTAAATTTGTGCCACTTTGGGTCTGTCTATCTGAATGGATATTTTTCTTTGTTCACCTGGTTCTTTAATAACGAAGCTGAACTTTGGAATGAATTTTATAAAATACGTGTGTGTGTGTGTGTGTGTGTGTGTGTGTGTCTTTTCCCCTGAGATTTCTGGAGTCTAACAAATTTTAATGTAGTCAATGCTAGCTTTATTAGTCAATGAGTAAATGAATATAATTCAATAGGTTCATTACTTTGAAGTTCCTGGCATAAAATCTACAAATTTTATTGTTATCTGTATCTCCACCTTTTGGAAACCTATGTAATCTCTATAAGAGCAAATGAGATAAAGAGATTTCTCAATTCTAAATATTAAGAAAGAACACTGAGAAGATAGACAATAGTGCTGTGTGTGTCTTAGGATGGTGGAAATGAGCAAATGTGGAAAAATAATTTAACAACAAGAGTAATGAAAAAATCTGTAAAACTGATAGTTAATTGAAAAAAATTAACCAAAGAATCAAATCTATAAACTATCAATATCAGGCTATTACTACCAATATTAATAAAATTAAAATATTATTTTGAAAAGTAGAATTTCTTACCTTGCAAATAGTGATGTTTTTCTAGAAAAATATAAGCATTTTACAAATCTAATTGTAAACGGTAAGTCTTGAACAATATGGAAATTTGGAATGTGTTTTTTTTTTCTTTTTGGGTCACACCCAGCGATTCTCAGGGGTCACTTCTGGCTCTACAGTCAGGAATTACCTCCGGCATTGCTCAGGGGACCATCTGGGATGCTGGGAATCAAACCCACCCGGGTCGGTCGCATGCAAGGCAAATGCCCTACCTGCTGTGCTATCTCTCCAGCCCCAAAATTTACCTTTTGTAAATTTGAAAATTCTTGTGATATGCTAAGTGCTTTTTATTTGTCAAAAGTGAATATCACCTATCCTGCCTGAAAAAGTAGGGAGATTTCATGGCAGTCTTTCAAATATGAGGGTAGTGTAGAAATAAACTAAATAGTAAATGTACAAGATAACTTGGTATATGTGTGTGTATATATATATACATACACTGAAGAAATAAAACTCAGTCAAATAATCAAAGATGATAGTCTTCATAAAGATATATAAAATAAGAAGTCATACATAAGAGAACAAAATATAAATTAACATAAAATAATTATTTAAAGTAAGAAAAGTGCAAAAGCAGGGGTCTGATTTAATTATTGTCCACTTCACTACTTTCAGCCTTTTATTTCTGCAAGTCCGTTCACTTCACCTGATATGAATTCTTCAAACACCATCTTGTGGACAAAAAGAGGTATGTCACAGGTTTTCAAGAGATGAGAAAATTTTCAGAAATGCTAGTTCTTATTTAACTTCTAAAACATATTCACAAAAATTAATTTATAATTCAAACATTTTTGACAACTTTTACAGACAACTTAAAATATTAGTCACTAAAATTTTGAAGTTTCCACAATGTTATGAAAAAAAGGAAGAAACACATAGGAGTCTTTAAAATCATAAACTAAATTAGTTTCATTATAAGTTGAAAATGCTTAGAGGTTAAGACTGGCTGTATTTTTAATATGATTGGAAGAAATGGTTAATGTCATCCATAGGAAAAAGAGTGAACAAGCTCATGAATTATTCTTTGTTCTTTAGACCGACCTCAAATTTCATAAATATTAACTTAAGTCATACCCTGTTCTTTGCGTAGAAAGTTTCTATCTAAAAGTGTTTATTGATCTTGGTATAAAATTTAACTTGGATTCAAACATACTGACAAAGGGCAAAGAGTTTTAATAATTAATTGTCATCATTCTGTATCATTATTTTGTATTTAAATACTAATGTCGTCTGGACTCCAAACGAAAGATAATTGAGGAGTTCAATAATTACTTCCAGCTGTGGACACTATTAACATCTTGGTGGAAATAAACCACTATTTTGGAATGGAGTAAAATGATAAAAAAAATTTATCAACCACCAAGATATTTAGGGGGAAAGTTGACACTCTACTTGAGAGCTAGATTTTCTTTTTTCTTTTTTCTAAAAAGAACTGGCAACTGTGAAATTCCCATTTTATTTGTGTTGCATTAGTTAGAACCAGCCTGTGCTTGACTGTTCTTTTTTTCTGATCATGTTCCCAACATATATAGGTCAAGAACAGTGTTGGAAGGTAAGAGGTTGAGAGGTTCATTCCAAGTGAACATTCAGCCTATTTGTCTAATGAAGCTGAAGGTGGACTTAGTTGTATGTCTCAGTTACAGAAAATGAGTGGGAATCATTGTTTTAGTCCTACTTTGTAATATAAATCATATGATATATTTTTATCCTCTCCTGAAATTACCAAATAAATCAACAAATATATCAACACAACATCAATTTGATTTGTGGGGTGGGAGCAGTTCCTAAATACGAAAATTATAAGGATGCAAACATATTCTATGGATTTAAGTTAACAGAATTTATAAACCAAGAAAATGAATTTTCATGTCTATGAAATGATCAAAGAAAACAGATCTACATCATTGATCATTATTAGCAAAAAAGCTCATGAAAGCATAAATGCTAAAAGACACTTCTGAATTGGCAGACACGAAAGTTCAAACAGCCTATTAATTGATGTGAAGAAAATAATTTTAAAAAACACAAATGTTTGACTTTATGAAAATTCAAGTAAATTAATGAGTTGGAAGTGTTCAGAAACTTACAAATTAAAGTTCAACAAATGAAAACTCAAAATATACACATAGCACCAGATTTGTATCTATGTACAATTTCGGGAGAGTAATGATTATTTCACTGAGAAAATGCATATATATTCCAATTTTGGAAGGTCTAAAACAGCACCATCATAGGTATTGCACAAGAAAGAAAAAATATCAAATTAAAATTAAAAACACTTGAAATAAATAAAATAACTTTTGTAAAATAAAAATAAATAAATGGAATTAAAATACACAGCACAATTTAATATGAAACAACTGAAAGATTGTAGGTATGCACATCCATGTAGAAAGTACCTGACCAGCAGTTCATTTGTCTATAATAAAAATCAGTTCAAATCATGGGTGCATTGAACAAAGTCTGCCTTAATTCAGGCATGCGCCAAACAACTCCGCTCACAGCTTTTTCCAATTTCTCTGGGTTTGCCTTATTAATTACCAGATGAAAGCAATCATCCTAGCCTGTTTCAGCCAAGCTGGGATCTCAGAGCGATCTGGGTAGTGTCTCTCAGCGTCTGTGGGACCCACGATTTACATTAATTTCGGCAACAGTTTCACAACCAGAGCTTATAAAATCAGTTGTTTTTCAACCAAAATCTATCAAAATTATGTTTATTAAAAAAAATACCATTCCGTAATTATGATGGTGATGAGTGTTATTTCGTCTCCTGTCAGATGATATGGTCTTTGCATTGCTTGTTGCTTCCCCTGAAGTGTGTTAGTACTTTGGTCTGAGTGTATGTTGCCTACTGTACGGTCCCCTGATGGTACCCCTTGCTGCAGCTTCTGGAGCAACAATGTCAGAAAAGTGCTTTTGGGCTTTATCTAACTGATATGTATCTGCTGACATCACACATTAATCTTCGAGGGTAGTGGGCTTCTTTTCCATTTGCTACAAATCCAGTCCTTTGTTCTGATGGTCAGCACTTGTCTTAAGATGAGCCTGTCATGAGTTTCAGAAAGAAAATGGATACAGGACCCAAAGACCTCGCTAGGCCATTGAAGCGTCAAGAGTAACAAGGTGACTTCACCACCAAACATCTTTTAGGAAAACTTAGAGTTTTTTAGATGAGAAAGTCAGTGATGGGAACACAGTGTTAGGCTTTCTTGTGACATATGCAACTGAATCTCATTCTTCTCTTTTCATGCAGTATATGTTTACACCAGTGGCGATTTCTTTGAATTGAGTTCTTTATACAGAATAACATTTTTTTTTAAGTAGCTGGCCACGGTGGGTTTGGGGCTGTTTGATGAAATAGCCTTTTGGGACTTCTTCTTTGCAGAAATGTAAGTTATAATGTGAAATTCTTATTGCCTATTTCTTTACACAAGTAGGATGGATATAAGGATGGTATAAGAACTCTTCTGCTATAAAAATGTAGTCTAAAAACATTCAGAAGGAGCAATGTACTATATCAAAAAAGATGAAATTTGATGTTTATCAACAACAGTGAATGAAAACAAGAAAATATCAAGTCTGAAGCTTTAAAACTCAGAAATCAAAGGCCAAATGCATCTTGATAAGACTACAAAATGCGTATCACCATGAGCCTAGTAAAACATACAACATAATTTCCTCTCGAAGAACAAGTGATAAGATTAGCATGTGAGTTTCATATAAGACCCTGAATGAAAATCAGGGAGAAGTAAAACACATGGAATGAAATTGGGAAAATTCTAAAAATGGTGATATCGCAATTACTATAGGACTAGGATTCAAATTGTTGCTCTAAGTGTTCGGCCAACACCATAAAACAAAAAAGCAGCCCACATGGCAAGAGAGTTTGATGATATTCAGACAGCTCCAACGGCAAGGAGATATCACCAGGAATCAAGTCTTCTTCAAGTATGTTTATTTCCCACCTGTCCGCTGGTGGGAATGGGACACAGGATAGAGACAATCTTCTGGGTTACATCTTCCACTAGGTCCTGGGGGGCCCTGGGGCCCTGGGGTACCTGGTGAGCCTGGCAAACCTGTAGCTAATAAAAACAAAAGGTCCCATTAAAATACAAATCTCCAAATCACAGATAACCCTTCCTTCCTCATTTCAAGCAATAAGCTGTAAGGACACATAAGGTCCATAGGGAGGAAGGCCTGGTTCCTGTGTTTAGAGGACTGATTTACCGTGAAGGGATATACCACTACTACCTGAAGTCCCAGGAAGACCTGGACTCCCTGGAAGTCCAATGCCAGGTTCCCCTCTTTCTCCCTTCTGTCCTCGGTAGCCTGAGAGAAAAAGAGAGAGAGAAAAAGAGACACTGAAAAGTAAGAGTGCCCTATGGCAGCATTATGACATTTCTTTCATCCAGAATTAATATGTATTAGTAATATATTTTATATTAGCCACACATTAAACTTAACAGACTAAGTATAATAAACAATGAGAATCTTGGATAAAAGCATGTAGAAAATGTTCCAACTAGTCAAACTCTTGATAATGAGATTTTTGGCACTATAAAGCACATCTAAAGAAATCAGTCTCCTATGACAAGATGTGTGTACTCTGTTCACTAGAGTTTTCTCTGAAGGCTATGCACAGTCCGTGTGCAAGAAGTATACTAAAAGTTATCACCTGCATAATAGATGGACTAGATAATATAACAGTAAGATTCAGAGCCTGAGCGTAAGAATAGAAGGAAGTAGGAGCCCAAACTCAGGATTTCAACAAATGACAGTTTGAATATATGTGAAATTCAGGAGTCAGGTTTTTGGTTTACTGACTACACCTTTGTCATTTTAAAATTTAAAATAGCAACCCCTGTTTTGACAAGACAGTTTGCAACACTAAAGCACTAAGAACTTCAACAATGCCCAAAAGCAAGACAAGCTGCTGAGAATCTTCCTAAGTGCATTTCTTTAATTTAGAATGCTTCATGCTTTAATAATGCTTTATTCACCAAAGTGAATTAGGTATAAGGCCTGCATAATTTAAGATAAAATAATTCTTGAATATGCTTTTTGTTGCCTGAGCTAAAAGGATACAGAATAATCTGTTCTTCTGGGAGCTCTCATTCCTGCATTTGAGAAAACCATAAAAATACTTTGTTCTGGGTTCTATACATTGGCCTTCATGTAAAACTTCATTTGAATAAAAGTTCTATTGCGATAAGAGCTTAATTGTAAAGTGTTTTAATTTTCATTTTTTCATACTTAAACATTTTGAGGTATATATTTGAGGTGCTTAAATATTTTAAGATACATATAGGAAATCTCTAATTACACATATTCACTTCTGGAAATTATCTTAAAGATATTCAATGGAATATTAGACCCCAGAATAAACAATACCTTGACTGGCAAAATATCTTCAATTAACATGTGTTCAAATTTAAAATGCCACCATGATTTTATTTAAAAAGTGACTTTCATAGAATTAAGAGGAAAACAAGAAAAAAATTGTGCTTAGGGTCATTTAGAGATATCCTTTAAACTTATCTAAACATTTCCGGAAAAAAATTCTCATTTACTATGGTGAAGGATATTTGAAAGTTCAATCCAGTTTGTATGATAATGTTTGTAAAGTTTACCTTCGTATATCTTAGTAAGATCATAGGTTAAAAAAATAGGGGTGAAAGAAAAATTACTAAGTGTTAGTTTCAATTAATAATAAGATTAACAAGGCTGAATATGATTCCAGTGAAGAATCTTTCTAAAAACTACACAAATTTAGTTCTAAGATTTGAATATAATACAAAAAATATTCCAAATGGGTTTAGCACATGTGGAATCATAAAATAAGAAATATTACTTTGTACATTTGATTAATAGGGTAATATTTACACTCCTGTCAAATGAAATAATTTATTTGTGCAAACCTCCAATTTCATGAACTCATAACTACCTATTGTTAATAGAACTATAGCTCTGCGCATGCATACAAATTATTTCTTTTTTAAAATTTCCTAAAATTGTCCCCCACTCATTCCTCAAGAAGGTTTCCATATAGCCTTAGGACCTTTTTTTTCCTTTTAAATTCTTTTTTAGTGAATCACTGTGAGGTACAGTTACAGACTTACAAACTTTCGTGCTGTGTTTCTGTCATACAATGCTCAATTACCCATCCCTCTACCAGTGCCCATCATCTACCACCAATGATCCCAGTATCCCTCCCTCCCTCCAGCCCCATTGCCTCCCACCCCTCCTCTGTGGCAGGGCATTCCCTTTTGTTCTCTCTCTCCTTTTGGGTGAGGTTTCCAATAGCGGTATTGGGTGGCGATCATGTAGATCTATAGTCTACTTTCAGCACGCATCTCCCATCCCATGTGGGTCCTCCAACCACACTTTACTTGGTGTTCCCTTCTCTATTTGAGCTGCCTTTTCCTCCAACATGTGAGGCCAAGCCTTAGGACCTTTTAATTTTGTTATTTTTAGTTTTGTGGCCACATCTGGCAGTGCTCAGGGCTTACTCCTGGCTCTGTGTTCAGGAATCATTCCTGGTGGGCTTGGGGGACACATGGGGTGCTGAGGGTCAAACCTAGATTGGCTGCATACAGGGGAAATTGCCTATCCACTGTAATATCTCACTGCCCCCAAGGATCTTATTTTATCTTTGCTTTGTATCAATACTTTAGATAAGAAAGTTAATAAAATCAGTGAGTGTATCCCCATTTGCTAGAATTAGACTATCAATTCATTAGGTTAGGACTCTTCTCAAATATAGAAAAGGCTAGAAGGCGCATCTATTAATGAAGATGTATTTTCCCGTGCTATCATTATTTAGGATGACAGTTTGATGTCACTGTTGCTGATCAAGTAAAACCAGAACAATAACAGCAGGGCCCTAATCTAAATAATCTAGAAGTAGCATTCATTGAATAAACCTCTGGTACTTTTTTTATTTCCTTAGAGAAGAAGGGATTTCATTTCTCCTCCAAGTATTTATGTCTCAAGTTATAATATGTGTACCTGCATGTAGAGTGAAGAAATGGGCTCCAAAAAGCATATGGCTGACATTTGGGAGGGACAGTTCTTCATGTGGGGCCTGCCTCATAGTTTATAAATTGTTTAGCTTCCTTGACCCACACCACCAACTAGCCACCTACCTCCCACTTCCAAGGATCCCCTAAGGCTAATAAATTTAAAAGGTCAAATCTCTTTCAGTCACATGAACTACCCCTGGGCCACTAGTTTACAAATAATAGAAAGTTTCCTTAAACCAAACAGCACTTAAACTTCAAACGTTCAAAAGAGAGAGGGTTGGAGCAATAGCACAGCAGGTAGGGTGCTTGCCTTGCATGCAGCCAACACGGGTTCAATTCCCAGCATCCCATATGGTCCCCTGAGCACTACCAGAAATAATTCCTGAGTGCAGAGCCAGGAGTAAACTCTGTACATCGCACGGTGTGACCCAAAGGGAAAAATAAATAAATAAATAGGTAAATAAAGATTCAAATGAAAGAACAGCCATTTGCATACTGTCCTTTTAGAACTGATGGAAGGAGTACAGAACAGTCACTGGTGTTGTACTCTACTGAGCCCTCTGTGCAGCCTGTGAGGCTCTTTCTAAAATGAATGGGTTTATAAGTGGAGCATCTGTTCTTTAGGGTTTTCTCAGAGGTAGAGAATCAGCTGTGTTTGGAAAAAAGTTTGAAGTTTTTAAAAATTATTCTCATAAAAATGGCCCCAGAAGGTAAGGTCTATTAGAAAAATTCACTTCTATTAAACACACGGATTGGAATCCAGCCAGATTATTCTTCCCGGGGATTCTTTAATCTCGGTGTGCATATTCTTCTTCATCTCTGACAGTGCCAGCAAATCAAACCCAATATTGTATACCGTGGTGGGAATGAACGAACAGCAAGGAAACTTTTCTCGGCACACATTAGAAAAGCAGTAATTAGAAACTCATGGACTAGTTAAAAACCTAGAACTGTCTGGGGACCCTGGAGATGGGAGTGTAGTAAAAGTCCCTGCCCTAAAAGCATGAGGCTGAGTTTGCTCCCCGATGCTGCCCATCAGTGCCAGGCATCCAGTGGTGTTGCTTATTGGGAGGGCTGGCAACCCAACAGAGTGGGCAAACTCTAGGCTCTTTAAGGTCAGCTATGTGGTAACACTGCAACTAAAGTTTGCCTGCACTTTGACCAGGACTGTGATCCCTAGAGGGCATGTGTGTGTGCTTGGCAGTGAGCGCTGGTGAGTGGCACAATTAAAATGTTCACAAGCTCCATAGCAAAAAGTGGTGCCTGGCGAGCACTGGCCTAAAATGTGAGCACTGCACCATGGAAGTCTGACCTCTAGTCACTGGTAACAACACAAACAGGAAGAGGAAAGAACCTTAAATTGTCTTTAATGCCTTTGACTAAAGACACAACAAAAGGGGAGCTCCATGGAGCTATAGCATAGTGGGTAAGGTGTTTGCCTTGCATGCGGCTGACCTGGGTTGATTCCCAGCATCCCATATGGTCCCCTGAGCACCACCAGGAGTAACTCCTGAGTACAGAGCCAGGAGTATCCCCTGTGCATCGCAGAGTATAGAAAAAACGCAAATGAGATGGCCCAATTCAATACTCCTAATGATTTCTAGTCTTACTGCAAGAAGATGAGAGGGGGTTGAAGAGGGACTGCACAATTTCACTGACTTTTGATAGAAGCAGCACCCTGCTTGCAGCAGGCAAGGCTGACACTCAGTCTCCAACACTTTCTTTTTTTCTCTCTGCATGCTTTCTGTGCCTCTGGAGAGGCAGAAGGAATGGTTGATTGTTCTTCCTCGAGATAATAAAGGACTCATTCCAGAGGGCATATTTCAAATCAAACTACTTTATTCGTAATGAAAAAGAATTTCTTACCTGATAAGCGTTGAAAAAATCTTTCAGAGATTTCAGAAGAGTCACTGCAGACAGACTGAGTGAGCAGAAGGCTCCCCACTTATCCCATCCCTTCTCTACTGCCTTTTTCACTTCGAACCCCTTCTCAAACTTAAGTGGTGCTGTGTCAGGAAGAGAAGTCAGCCAATCCCCTTACATGCTCACTGGCAAAACAGTTTTCTGTAAATTTTTTCCTCTTGCCTTTTGAGGGAAAAAAAAACCCTTTTAAATCCAACAGAGCAGAGTTTTGGAATTACATGCATAATTTTCTCTTCTGAGGACTTCGCATGTCTTTGTCTAGCAAAGAAAAACCATTCCATTCTTGGGAACTCTGGGGGAGGAACCAAAACCGAAATGACAGTCCCTTGGTTTCATTTTGACACTAAGAATTGTGTTGACTTTAGACAGGATTGATCAGTTGGCCTGATTTCTAAGTACACAAATATTCCTGAAACATGAATCCCTTATTTTGCAAGTTATATTTTTCTGTTGCCTTTCTAGTAATTGTAACAAATCCTAAAATGGGGCTGTCAGGCAAAAAAAAAAAAACTTGAGGAGAAACCTGAGGTATCCTCAAGATATGTATCAATTGTCAGACTTCTGTGATGGGGCAAAGGTTTTGTCAATTTTACTCAACTGTGGTTTAAGAGAGTAACTGAAAGTCACGTGGGGAAGTCTTTTAAATTCAGGATGTCCTGTAAGGAGTAGTAATGCAGAAGTAGGCAGAACAAGTAGATAGCAATGAATAGAAATTCCTTGAAAACGGAGGACAAACATAGGGAGGATAGAAGTCTTGTCTCCAAAACTTCACAACACTCAGCACCGCCTCTGTCTGAGAGCTGTCTAACAGCATCTCTGAAGAGGTCTGCTGGTGTGAACAGGTGACTTCAGTTCGGAACAATTTCCCTTCATAATTCCTGTTTTTCCGTTATTTTCTTCTTAGTCTGCAACTGATTGTTCAAGGTTTCTGTGCTTGAACTCGATGCTGCTGCGTCTGCTCAAGGTTTTTCCTACCTGTGCTATCTTTCCTTATCCTTCACATGGTTTGAGCCCTCACATGTATCTCTCTTTTTTAAAATTTTAATTAAAATTTTAAAAAAATTTTCTTAATGAATCACTGTGAGATATAGTTACAAAGCTTTCATGACTGAATTTGTCATACAATGATTGAACACCCGTCCCTCCACCAGTGCACATTTTCTACCACCAATGTTCCCAGTATCCCTCCTGCCAGCCCCACCCCACTCCATCTCCTGCCTCTATGGCAATTTCCTTCTTACTCTCTCTCTACTTTTGGGCATTTATGGCTTGCAATACAGATACTGAAAGGCAATCACGTTTGGTCCTTAGTCTACTTTCAGCACATACCTCCCATCCACATCTCTCTTGGAGAGGAGCTTCCAAGTAGTTCTCAGGGGGTTCAGGGATTCCTGGCTAATGCAGATGGTTCAATGCAATGGCATGAGAGTATGGTGGAACTCGAGATCTGGGGTATTGGGGAACACCAGAGGTGTTTGTGGATCGAATGTGGAGGTTGGGGTTGGGTGTATGTTTCTAGTATTTCCTAGACCCAAAGATACCATACATCTTTAGATGGACTTTCAAATTCTTCATGCCAGTCTCATATACTCTGACTTTAGGATAGACTCATCTAGTAGAGCCCCCCCCCCCACAAAAAAAATTAAATCCCCTTCTTACAACAACATTCGCACAAAAGCCTACACCTCAATCTACAACTTTTCTTCCAGCCATCTTCCAACCATGTCATTAAACCTCTCTATGATCTAAAGAAAAGGTACAATACTCGGTTTAGATTAGATAAACAAGTGATGTCACTGAGGTTGCCATACACTGAGAAGCTAAACCAAGTGCCTTGTTGGTAGTGACTGTTGCTGAGGACTCATGACTAAGCATGGTGGTTACTCTTTCAGCTGGAGGCAGGACGTTAGTGGCCCTGGAGCACCTCTTAAGGAAAACACGGCTCAGGTGCAGAGAAGCAGGTGAAAGAAAAGTGAATTTGTAGATGAAAAATAATTCTCTGCTACTAAGTGCTTTCATTTCTTTTTCTTCTTAAAACTATTTTAGGCTCTTTGGGAAACAAAGCTGTTTATGGCACGGTTTCATGTATATAACATTACAGCACCACACCATGTGCTTTTGATCATGTTAAGGAGAACCCTTGAGTGCCTCTGTGGTAGCACAGTTTCCATAGTCTTATATTTTAAGGCCAGTGATGAACGTATTTAATTCTTCCTCCTTAGGCTTGTGGATCTTGTAAACCAGGGTCTATTCGACTCTTTTGCTAACTTAAACATAACCTAAAATAAGAAAAAACAAACAAACAAACAAACAAACAAACAAAAAATCCCAAAAAATAGTCTTACAGGCTTAATGTAGGGGTGAAACTACAAGAGACACAATCTTGGAATTGTGTCTTCGTCTCATTTCGTCGTGAAGGGAACAATTTTCTTTCTCCGCCAATTCAGGTCAAGTTTTCTTATAAAACTTTTAGAAACCATCTTGTGAGTAGCTTAAATTCAAAAGTTACAGGGGCTGGTGCAATAGTACAGTGTGTAGGGTGTTTGCTTTGCACACAACTGATCCAAGTTCATTTCCTGACACTTCATCTAGTACTCTGAGCTTACCAGAAGTGTTTCCTGATTATAGAACCAGGAGTAACCCCTAAGTATTTGCCGAGTATGTGCCCACCCCACCCCTCTCACACCCTCCTTGTCCAAATAAACAACAACAAAAAAGCTATCATCTTCAAGCTCTGTTGGAAGGAGACTGGTTCTAAACTTTTCAAAATTTTGTTTCAGGGGCTGGATAGTACAGCAAGTAGAGCACTTGCCTTGACTGTGGCCAACCTGGGTTTGATTCCCTGGCACTACAATAGTCCCCCAACCCCCACCAGAAATGATCTCTGAACTCTGAGCAAGTATTAAGCCTGAGTACTGCCATGTACACATGCATATTGTCTTAACAAATATTATTAGGATACATTTTGGTTATTTCTGAGGGGGGCACACCCAGCAGTGTTCAGGGATCACTCCTGGGTTGAGGGACCATATAGGGTGCTAGGGATTGAACCTGGGTATGCTGTGTACAAGGTAAGGCCCTGCCTGCTATAAGAATACATTCTTCAACCCCTATAAAAACATATCTTGATCAGCAGATTATCATTCTGTTTTAAATTTTAATTAGGTCAAGTGAAAAATTGACTTCGGTGGGACAGAGTAATAATACAGTGGGTAGGGGGTTTGCCTACATGTGGCCAACACAGGATTTATTTCCCAGCACCTGATACAGCCCCCCTGATCACTGCCAGGAGTGGTCCCTGAGCACAGAGCCAGGAGTAGGTCTTTAGCATTGTTAAGTGTGGCCCGAGACCACCTCAAATTGGGCTGGAGCAATAGCACAGTGGGAACGGCATTTGCCTTGCACACAGCCAACCCGGGTTGGATTTCTAGCATCCCATATGATCCCCTGAGCAATACCAGGAGTCATTCCTGAGTGCATGAGTAGGCCATGTGCAACACCGGGTGTGACCCAAAAAACAAACAAAGACCACACCAAATTGGATTTAGAATATTAAATATTAAGACACCCTTTATCAAATAATTATATATACACATATGTTTACCCAAATATATGTTTGTGCATATATATGTATATATGTATATTTTTTACATATATGCCAAAGGGCCTTAACTATGATTAGCATGCTCTAAATTCTGAGGGTTATAACACTGTAAACAAATTCTGTATCTAACAACTTACCTTGGGGTCCCGGGTCTCCTGGTGGCCCAGGGAGCCCGTCTTTCCCAGGTGGTCCAGGCCTCCCGTGAGCTTGTGCAGACAACATTGCTGCTGGCAGCTTGAGCTGAGACAGGAACACAGCCATCCTCTCTTCATTTATGATATGAAAAAGGAAATATCTCATTACAAAAATATTTTTATTGAAATCAAGAATTGGTTTTGAATTTTACTACTTATGCTTTACCAATTGGTTGAATAGCTGGCATTTTTATTAATACTTTTTTCTGGAAATAATACTGCAATATAACATTTTATCTGAAGGTGTGTGTTATTACAAATAACCATCTGTATATACTGTATTAACTTCACTGGAAATTTGATTTTACTCTTCACTACATAATTGTCCCTTACCCCTTCCCTACTTGGCTCTATAGCCCAAGAATTTGTTTTTACTTAATTTAGTTCATCTGTTTTTTCCCCGTATAACACATATAAGCAAAATCATATGGTGTTTATGTTTTCTTTCTGGCTTATTTGAGAGGGTTTTGTTGTTTGGTCAAATAAAAAAAATTGCACAGAGTTGTTTGACCGTAATGTTGACCATCTGTGTCTATTAGAGGGCTATGAACTTTCAGTGCTTCAGAGATGTTTCAAGTCCCACGGACATATAGCCTGGGATCTAATAAACCTCTGCTAATGATTTTGGAGAGAAGTAAGGCTCATACTAAAAAATGGTCTTAAAAATAAATTTAAACCCACTTTCCAACAAAGTTGTAAATAATGTAAATATAAGTGTGGTGATTTAAGATATATTCATAAATTTCTGGGTCTTTCCTTTTAAAGGTGGAACTTATTTACCTATCTTTAAATGTGGGCTGGACTTTCTTTTTGCTTTTAATACACAGGGAAACCACCAGAACCGACAGTGTGCAACAAGGATGATTAAGTTGAAAAAGGCACCAAGTGCTGTGGATTTCTAGCTCCCCTCTCTCTTATTCTGGGGGAAACCAGGTGTCAAACAAGTGAGGACACTCAAAAAGTCCTGAGGATGAGTCCACATGGGGACTCACTACAGGCACCTGCCATTAGCTATGGAGATAAGGTTGAAAGTTGACTCAATGTCCAGTCAGGCTTTCAGATGATTGCAGTCCCCGCTTACACCCAGACCTCACATTCATTATGGAGACTTCCAGTTACAACCACATACCAAGTCTATTCTCCATCTCTGACTCACAAAAAATGTGAAGTATGAAACAATTATTTATATTTCAGGACAACAAAGTTTTGAGCTATTTTCATTGTGGAGCAATAGATAAACAGCATTTATTCCTGAGCAAAATTGCATATGAGTAGTTTTATGTACTAAAAAGATGGCTATTGGTTTCATATTCACTAAGAATTCACTGTTTTCATGGTTTCATCTTTAGAAAAATCACATATTGTATTTGTCCACATCTAATATTTGCTTTTAAGAGAGAAGTTATTATTGTAAGCCCTCAATAGTATTCGTTTTTTTCTGGTTCCGTTTCCAGTGGGTTATATTATTCTTTCATGGTTTAGCAGGAAATAGGTCTCATTTGTTCAAAGAAAATTTAGCATTGGAGCAGATAAACAGGATCCTGTTGGACTTTAAATTTAGACAGTGAAAGCAGAAAATTATTCTATTCATTTTGTGTGTCTGTGTGTGTGCGTGCGTGTGTGTGTGTGCGTGTGCGTGTGTGTGTGTGTGTGTGTACCTAAAGAAAACTTTGAATCTACAGAAACATGTTACAGGAAACTGAAAAATGATTTAAAATGTTAAAAGGTCAAAAAGTGATGTCAATAATGTGACCTTTATAAGCTGAAAAAGCAATGAATCAAGTCACTTTGAGAATAAGCATTGCTGCCTTTACAGGGAAATCTTTGTTATTGGTCCTTTTGTTCTTTCACCAAACTGCTGGAAACCTAACATATGGTCCAAAAGAGGGCAATTTAGGAGAGAAGCAAAGGTGCTGCCTCAAGGGGATCTCAGTGACGAGGCCATGAAAGTCTCGTTAGAGGTGACACAGTTTATATACAACTTTTACTACTTTTCCTTAGCATCTTATTAATGAGTCCACAGTGAATCTGGATAGGAGAATAGATTGCAGGACATTTGTATTATTAACTCACAAAATTCAAAGGATATAGGGGGCCGGAGTAATAGCACAGCGGGTAGGGCATTTGCCTTGCACGCAGCTGACCCAGGTTTGATTCCCAGCATCCTATATGGTCCCCTGAGCACCGCCAGGAGTAATTTCTGAGTGCAAAGCCAGGAATAACCCCTGTGCATTGCTGGGTGTGACCCCTCAAAAAAAAAGGAAAAAAAGGAAAAAATTCAAAGGATATAAAAATGACACTGTTAAAAGAAAATGTAAAAGGCAACAAATAAAATATTTCCTCAAATAGATTTTGCACTAAATAAATCAGATATTATTAATTGAACAAAACATCCTCCGGAATTAGGACCCTATTTTAGTGCTCTTCTTCAGAAATTAGAGAGCGCCTAAAATTGTTCCATTTTATTTTATTTTTTGATATTTAAAATTTTAATAAATTGTAAATTGAGTCACCGTGAAATACATAGTTACAAAGCTGTTCATGATTCGGTTTCTGTCATATAATGATATAACATCCGTTCTGCCACCATTTCCCACCACCAATGACCCCAGTTTCCCTCCCAACACCCCCCTCCCCCCAGCTTGCCTCTAGAGCTCAATGGCAGGCACTTTCCCTCTCTCTCTCTCTCTCTCTCTCTGACTTCCATTTTAGTAAGAATGACTATCCAAGTTTTTATAGGTCCCATGCACTATAATGATTATCTACTGTGATAAGTTTTATTTAATGACTAGAAATCTGTTACAAAGAACATTCTCAGAATTACTTTTTAAAAATGATTATTCCAAAATTACACTGAAGAATTGCATTACTGGATAATTATATGTTAACCATGAATTATAGAATCCTTAGTTATTAATCCATATAGGTCATTCTTCAGTTAAATTTTACCTTAAAAATGTAGCTCATATTTCATGAATAAGAATTAAGTTCGATAAAATCATTAATGTATATTCACCAAAAGCTTATCATTACTGTAATTTAATTAGTATTTAAACTGGCTTGGTTTATCTTACATTTAGCATATCTAGCATTCATAGTGAAATTTAAAATAGAAAATTAAGAAGGCCATGTCCTTGCCATGACAAAAAAAGTCAACTACATTATTTCTACATTTTTACATTCCTATATTTTAATAACTATAAGTTCAAATGATTTCATTTGTAAAACTAGAGCACACCATTTTTCAAAAATATATTCACTATCAAATAAGAAATAATTATTTAATGTAAATATTTCAGCATGTTTGGTGCATACAAAAATTTCAGATATGTTCTTCCTAATAAATTCAATACTTGTTTTGCAAGTAAGGATGAAATGACAGACACAACCTAGAAAATATAGCTTCCAAATTATACAGACTCTATAAAGAGTTACTTCAATATTCTCTAATCTTTTCACTCAGTTTTGTTAATTTAAGCTGTAAAGGCAGGTTTGTTTAAACATACATAAGATTTTGAAATATCTAATAAATAGAAGTTAGTAAATTAAAAATTAATATATACTTTCAATAAATATTTGTTATAAAAATGTAGTTCCTTTTGCTACCCAAGGAAACAAAACACTCTTAAAAATAATATTACACATTTTTGATCTTTTTAGTGGACCCAGGTTCTATTCCTCTGCTCCTCTCGGAGCGAGTATCTCACCCGCATGGCAAAGCCTGGCAAGCTACCCGTGACATATTCCATATGCCAAATACAGTAGCAACAAGTCTCACAATGTTACTGGGCCCACTCGAGCAAATCGATGAACAACAGGAGGACAGTGACAGTGACAGTGGAGTGAAATAGTTTTATTTAAAGAAATTTACTGAGATAAATTTGAGGAGAGTAAGAGATACGTGCTCAAGAGAGAACACAGTCCTTCAGTGTGACAAAGGCCTCCTGATTTGTTTTTTCCCTTTTCAATTCCTCTGTATTCGTTGTAACCTTTAAAGCAGAACGTGGTTGGGCACTGCATTTCCATGAATAAAATTTGCTGAGCTGCTTTTTGAATAGTTTTACAACATGCTTAGGGAGGCTGAAAATTGATACTCAAAACAGTACTTTGCTTTGGAAAACAAGTTCTATGAACAGTTACTTCCATCAGGCTGTAACCACTAACTGCAGCTGACTCATTCCTAGGAGTCATTCCAGTTGCTACCACGGGGATGGTAGGTGCCAAAAGTTCTATATCTGAGATCTGGGTTAGCGAATATTTCCCCTGAAAACACCAAGGTATATACCTCCATACTTAGTGACAAAAGGGTCATTTTATTTTATTTATTTATTTATTTATTTTTAAAAAATTTTTTAAAAGTGAGACATCATGAGGTACAGTTGCAGACTTACACATTTTTGTGCTTGGGTTTCAACTATACAATGATCAAATACCCATTTCTCCACCAGTGCCCATTTCCCACCACCACGGATCCCAGTATCCCTCCCACCCATCCCCCCATCCCACCCTGCCTCTGTGGCAGGGCATTCCCTTTTGTTCTCTCTCTCTTATTGGGTGTTGTGGTTTGCAAAAGAGGCAATGGGTGACAATCATGTTTAGTCTATAGTCTACTTTCCGCATGCTTCTCCCATCCTGGGAGGATCCTCCCAACACCGTTATTTGGTGTTCCCAAAAGGGTCATTTTAAACCACAAAATTCATAACAGATTATACATAATATATCTATATCTTTCATGTGATTATTTTTGAATTTATGTAAATTATTATGAAGGGGGGAATTCCAACAAATGAGTATTATTTTACACTCACATTCTCCGGCCACACAATAAGCAAATTCGAACATCACAGTATCTGTAGAATCAGAGTCTCATACTGCTGAGTGATGGACATTGTTGCTGGGAGACTAATGAGTATGAATCAACCCAAGGAGTAATACATTTGTTGGCCTTCCCATAAAATGGTTGTTATCTGATTATCCTAAGCCATGTCATTTGATGCTAATATGTTTTTTTAAGATTAAACAAATTTGTAATTAACATATATTGTTTTGTAAATCATCATACTGAATATTAA